CAATCCCCCCCCCCCCCCCCCCCCAAAAAAAAAAAAAAAAAAAAAGGAAGAGAGGAAAGAAACGAAGAAAACATGCACACAAGCATGACTAAAATAATGGAAAATTTATTTATACCTTCTCCTTGAGCTAGCTGGAGAGAGATGTAGGTATGTTACGGACTTAAGCTACCTTTTTATGCGAAAAAGTTTAATATAGTTATCCTATCACTACTTAGGAGTTAAAACTGCATCTTTATCCATATGATTGGCTTCTGAATAGTGCATGAAATCAGTATATGTGTGCATGTAGTGTATTGAGCTGGCTTGCAATACTGTTTTGTATCTTTTCTAAGGGAAGTTTTATTTGTCCGGTTTTGTCTTGAATGTATTATTCTAGTAAAAGCTGTAATTTGAAAATAAGCAAGTGTAAATGGAGTGATTACAATAGTTCCTTCACAGTTAAGCTTATGATCATTGATATTATTTTGTGAAGAATGTGTTCCGTGCAATTCTTATGCCATTGAAGGTGATTTTCTTATCTATTAATGCTCCCATTCAAGGAGATTCCATTCCATATTTTCTTTTAGCACCTGACATTTGCTTCCCCCTGGAAACAGGAAAGAAAAGAAGAAAATGTGCCCATGAGATTGACTGAACTAATGGAAAATTTATTTATGTGTTCTCCTTGAGGTCTGCGGAATGAGATGTTGTGGGTTTGTTATGGACCTAAGCTACCTATTTGTGCAAATAAAGTTCGATGCAGTTATCTTATGATTGTTTAGGAGATAGAAGCACAGCGTCTTTATCCATCATGATTTACTTGAGAGCATGAAACCTAGTAGATATGTGCATGTAGTATCATGAGTTGATTGCTATATTTTCAGTAATTTTTTTTTTTTCAATTTTTTCAGATTAAATTATTGGTCTGCCTCTCTTGAATGTATCTTTCTGGTGTAGTAATTTTTTAAACTGAGTATGTAAATGAAGTGATATGACGGCTCGTGCAATATCAAGCTTATGATAATTGATCATATTTTATGTGGAATGCATTATATGCCACTGAAGGTTATTTTCAAATCCATTAACAACAAACGATGCTACCGTCCAAGGAGGTTCCATTCCATATATTCTTTTGGCACGTATTATTTGCCTTCCCAAGAAAAACGAAAGAAAGATGAGAAACACGAGCATGAATAAGCTAATGAAAAATTTCTTGTACTTTTCTACTACAGGTTTTGGGAATTAGATGATGTAGGTATTTTATGGACATAAGCTACCTTTCTATGCAAAGAAGTTCTGACTATTAGAAGTTAAAATTACTGTGACTCTAGCCATTACTATTGGCTTCTGAACATAGAATGAGACCTAGTAGGGATGAGCTTGCAGTATCTTGAGCTGGACTTGCTGTATTGTTTGTATTTTTCTTAAGATCGATTTTACTGCTCGCTTTTCTCTTGAATGTATCTTCCTTGTAAAGTTGGAACTCGAAAATATAAGTCGGTGTAAATGAAGTGATTACAGTGATTCGTGCAATGTGAAGCTTATTGTGCGGACTCATAAAGTTCCTTGTAGAGAGTTTGATTTTTTGGGTGACAATAAGCATTATTCTCTTCTTGCAACAGGGAAACTTGAATAGTGTGGTGGTGCATTTTGTCTTTGCGCTTTAATTTCAGTTTATTTTCAAGAAAACATAATCCATGGAAGAAACAGGCTGTTGATTATATTAGGCTTACATGGTCGTTACTTTTATGCTGCTTCATGAAATTACTGTGGTGCAGGAGAGTCTCAAAAGATGGAGCAAAATGAAACTGGGTGCCAAGCTCCTCAAGCTCCAGTCCTTTGTGTGAACAAATGTGGATTCTTCGGAACAGCGGCAACCATGAACATGTGCTCCAAGTGTTACAAAGACGTGGTTTTGAAGCAACAGCAGGCCAAGTTTGCTGCTGCATCAATTGAAAGTATTGTGAATGACAGCTCCAACGCTGATGATAAGGGTTCAACTGTTGCCATAGTTACTGGTGTGCAGACTGCTTCACCAGATACAATTGTTGCATCAACACAAGCGTCTGCTGTATCACTAGAAACTGAGAAAAGTGAAGAGCTTCCGAAAAGGTGCAGCACTTGTAGGAAGCGTGTTGGTTTGATGGGTTTTAATTGTCGATGTGGCAATCTTTTTTGTGCTGTTCATCGCTACTCCGACAAACATGAATGTCCCTTTGATTATCATGCAGCTGGTCAGGAATCTATAGCCAAAGCCAACCCAGTTGTGAGGGCCGAAAAGCTTGACAAGATATAGTGCATGTGGGTTTCTCGTGAACCTAGATAAGGTTATCTTGAAAAGAAGGCTCAAATGTTCTATTAGGCGTCGTAGATCGTAAATGGTTGAATGCAGTAATATGGCGTCTTTCCAACCTATAAATCTATGTCTCCTTTCCCAGTGTCTAGTGCTTGTTTGTGTTTTGGTCTGATGGTCTTTACCATTATTTTCTTTGTATTCGACTTTCTTGTGGTGTGGCTTCTACATTTAGTAATAATCTATTTAGCTCTCATGTCTTGCTTTTTGAGTCATCCAACTGGGCAGCTCGTTACAAGTTCTGTTTTTTCCACTACTTCGTGGAGTGATATTGTGGCGGGTTAGTAGCAGAAGATTTGGTTTTTTTTTCTGTGGGTTATTTGTCAAACAGGTTTAGTTTATTGATGTAACCGCACGCTTGCACTTGGGAGCCACTGATTCCTTTTAAGTTTATTCTATAATTACACACTGAGGTGTATCTTAGGGGAGAAATTTGGAAACTGGGAATATTTTGAGGCTCCTCTGGATTTCATTGCTGGAAAATGCTTTGAAATGTCTATTCCATGTGTAGAGCACATGGCAATCTGTTACAGCATTAGGCAATTGTACGGGTGGTGCTAGATCATAGAGCCAACCTATAGGTGCATGAATATCTTCTATAACTGGTGAGTGGTATGGACTACTTTTCAATACAAGTACCTTGTCCTCTTGATGGGCAATCTCCATGTGAAGTTCTTATAGGTGTCATTTGAGTCTTATTTTTCGAGAACGAAGTTTGTTAATAAGTGATTTGTTCTGAAGAATGTGTTGTTGAAGAGTAAGAACAAGTTATGAATTTATGTTCAAGATTATTTAACTGAAAGAATGTATTGTTATAAATGGGTTTGGGAAAAAAAATGTATAAAAGAGTCTCGGAGAATGAGACATGGTACTTGTTATGTGGTCACTGAATTTTTAGTTAAAACCCAAATGAGTCGCTAGATTTTAGCCTCCATTGGCCCCTTTTAAAACTCATTAATTTAATTTAAATTTTTTTTCTCCTATTCTCAATCACACAATCTTCAATAAAATAATATTTTATACAATAGAAATTTTTTCATTCTTTTACAACCATCCTTTTTTTCAAAAAAAAAAACTATTCCCTCCATTATAAATTCTAATAATGGGGGTCAAACGGGGGCTTAATTTCTAAATTGGGAACTTTAATTTAATTTTAAATATTATCTGTTGAGCCCGCCTTTTGTATTGGTCACGTGGACAACAGATATTGGATCTCGCTTGTGTTCACACACACAAAATTAGGCGCGATTTGACCATAAATACGATTGGAGGCTTATGACGATAATGAACGTGAGAGTGCTTTGTGACACAGCGAAAACGTTCATATACCGACAAATTGATCAAGTATGATTGCAAATAAAATGAGCAATTGTAGACACCATCAAAAAATTATAAGAGATTACCAAACTCAGGCATGTAAAGCAGAAGACTTATGGCCTATTCAGTAATGATTATGAGAATTAATTTTTTAACTGTGAAAGGGAAAAATGGGTTCCACCTGTGAGTGAAGAAGTCAAATGACAGCTAGAATAGTAAAATAACGATTAAACATTTGATTTTTTTGAATGAAAATTTGCTACCAAACAGGGCTCAATTATTTTGTGTGTAAAGTTTGCATATATATATATTTTTTCATTCTTTGAAATGTTACAAGAGCTGCTATTTCTAGTATTCTAGCCGAAATGATGGCTGTCGGATCAAAATCAGGTGGCTTCATCCCATTAACTGAACTTTTTATTTTTGTTCTGAAGGTTTTTAAAGATGACCTCCGCCTCTATGACAATACCAAATGCCCTCTCTGTTTGACTCACCATGGTGGTGAAGATATCCACCACGTTGCTGGTCTCAATGAAAAACTGCCAACGATCTGTCCAAAACTTGTGAAATGTAAATGTTGCAGTTTGGACCTTTGGAGGAAACATTGACAGAACTTTCGGAGCCAACTTGTAACTTCGTTGAGAAAATGAGAGCTTAGGGCGAGGACCTGCGTCAAACGCAATGGACCCACTTGACGTCCTCGCCCTCTATAAAGAATTTTGCCTCGGGGGCTCCATAATGGTTGGCCTCTTCTAAGCCCCCTTGGCTATAGTAATTGAGGCTGGCATCAATTTCTCCCAAAGCGAGGCCGAGGGCTAGCCATTAACCCACTCTCTCTGGTGACAGAGAATTTTTGTTTCTTCTTGTGGACCTCCTCAACCTTATTTTTTCCCTTATCCTTAATGGGAGATTGCCCAACTCCTTCGTGACTAGCAACTTCTCTGCTGATCTTCTCCACTTCGTCCCTCACCGTTTGGTAACAACTAATGATGGCTTCAACACTTTCCTCCTTGCATTGGAGGTGGCAACCAGGATAGTGGTCATATCAAGGGCCTCATCTTCTCAAAGTTTTCCGCGAAGAAAAGAAAAAAGTAAAAAAAATGTATAAACCAAGAAGACGAAAATCTCAACTATAGAGCAAGTTTACCTCTTTGGGCCATCAAGCAAAATCTTCAAAGAACTGCTTGGAGTTGATTATGAAGGCAGATGTCTTCTACTATTCTCCACTCAGCTTCAGACAACTCGAAGTAATCAGCTAACCCTGCAGAACATGGGAAAGGGTCAAAATCAGAGTCTAAATCAACTAAGTTTAAATCCATAAAAGGTACAACTCGTGCTTTTGAATACGAAGTTGGAAATGTCGCGTGGGAAATAGTGTTTCCCTTACACACCTGTCACTTCCTCCTTATCCAGAGCCATGTTTCCTTCTACCTTTTGATGGAGAAAGGAAGTCCTATGACGAAGGAGGAGTGTAACCCCCATAGACAAAGAGAATACCATCCCTTCAAATCTCTTTTCCTAAAGCCCTAGGTTGGAAAATTGTTTAGAAAACATGAAGAGACATGCCTTTTCCAAGGGAGGTCTCCTTCCACTAAAAATAGGTTCCCACTTTCTGAGCCCTAGCATTGGGGACAAACTGGATGGGCGCCAGCCCGTACAACCTCAAAACGGCTCTAAAGAAGGGATGGATAGGTAGACTGAGACCTGCCTTCAAGAGAAACTCACTGATGGTGACACAACCTTGTCTAAGAAAGCGAACTCTCTCATCAAGAGAGGCTAGGAGTTTAATATTGCAAGGGATACAATGTTTTTCTCAAGTCTACTAGATGGGACGAAAAAAAAAATAGAAGGGATTTTGGTAGCCCCCCAAACCACCTCGTCTCCTCTATGTTCCCTTGCAAGTAGTAAACTTTGTCCAGTCCTAATAGCTTAGATAATGTCGGCTGTGTTTGTCATGGTCACTCCCATCTCAGAAGCTACATGGCTAATATCTAAATCCCTCTAGAAGGTGAAGATGCCATTAAATTAGTAGTTAAAAGTGTGAAATACTTCCAAGATTAAACACAAATCACCAAAGAAAGGTGATTATGAATAGCAAAAGATTTGGAGAAAGGAGTGAAGAAATATGATGAGCAAGAGAAGATTTGAATTCTGTTTTTAACAAAGGCAAAAGTGTTTTTTACCTAGAGTTATCGCCTTTTATAGACAAGGCCATTCAATCCCCATCGTTAAATGATGATCCGGACCATCCAGCCATTTATTCGAAATTCAATCTAAACCACTCAACACATTTGTCATTTCTTTTTTTACGGTCTAGATCACAGCGTCTACATTACGAGCTCAATGGTGGGAATGCTTTGAAAGATCCAAAACCAAAAATAGTGGTATTTGCTAGCAACAACATAATGGAGTTTCAATCCCGTAAAACACGCTTGCAATAGTCATTATTGCTCATTATATGCAGCGACGGTTGCGTGTATTGGAAAGTGAAGAGCCTCCGCACATTTCTTTAAAATCTGCAAAAGCAACAAATCATTTGGGTGCTATAATTAAGGACGCCTTGTACTACTGACATACTCCAATCCCTTGCCTCATCAAAATTATTGCTTGCAACTTCATTCAAATTGACAAAGTACACCACTTCAACCTCAACATATACAACTTCGGCAAGACTTCGGATACATAATAACAAGCAGCCTTAGTCAAATGAACCTCAGCCCTGCTTCAACTTCATAATAAACAAGAGGCACAAAGTACAACTTCAGCAAATAATCTCGATAAGTGCTTCAAACACACTCATCATAACTTATGTTTTCAAATTCTAATTTTTATATAAATATTTGCAATTAGACTTGTAAGACTATTTTGAGTTAAAAATAATCACCCCACAAATCTTTTTGCTTTTACATAAATGACTATGCATAGACTTGGGGCACTGTTGTTACGCCTCGTATCCTAAGCTCCCACGTGAAGCCACATCAAGGCCAAGTGGATGAGCCAGCGAGGTCAAGATAAGGAATAGGAAAAAGCTCTGCAGCTGAACTTCTTTGCCAAGGCACTCTTCCATCTAGCAGAATTTCTTCTTGTCCAAAACCTTCTCTTTGAGCCGAAGTGCACGCTGTCTTTAAAAGCAAATCAGCAGAGTATCTGTAGAAATGATTGATATAACGTTTGTATATATAACTGTAAAAAATGTCAGCCTTTAATGTAGGGCGACTGACCCGTTGTCAATGTATTTAATGTATGATAGAGTGATGTAAGACTTCATTTAATGAGATGAAGCCAAGTGGTTTGATCCAATGGCCACCACATCGGCTAGAATACTATAAATAACAGCTCTTGTAACATTTTAAATAATAACAAAATATATAAATATGTAAACTTTATGCACACAAAAGCATTTAGTCTTCTGCTTACATGCTTAAGTTTGGTAATTTCTTATATTTTTTGGTAGAGTCATCTGCAATTAATTATTTTATTTGCAACCATAGTTGATCACGTCGTTGGTGCCCGAGCATTTTCGTCTCATGTCATAGAGCATCTCCCACTTTCATTACCTCCATAAGCCGCCGACCGTATTTACAATCAAAACATACAGAAATTTGTTTGTATGAACATAAGTGGACTCAACATCTGTTGTCCATGTAACGAGTGCAAAAAGCAGGGTCAACATTATCCTTTTGCCAAATTCCATTCGTAATCATTTGTTGAGTTAATAGAATTACTTAGCTGATAGACAAACTTAACTGATCTTCAAAGTACTTCAAAAAAAAAAAAAATGATAAAATGAGAGTGATGATAATATTTTTAAATTGAAAGATTAAAATGCACGTTTTGGCGTGTTATGCAACTAGAAAATGTAAATTTGAATATGGTCATGAACTAAACAATTTTCATTAATTTAAAAATGAATTAAAGTTCAACGACTATATATTGAAATTAAATTAAATTTAATAATAATAATAATAATAATAATAATAATAATAAATAGATAAAATTTTCGCTAAATATTTACTGTCCCGGTATAAAATTTACCCAGCCAATTGGGCAAGACGTCCTTTTGCTAGAAGCTCACATGGGTAGTCTTTTATTAGAACAACGGTTGATATGGTAGGATGTGTTTCAGTGTGTATGGAAAATCAATGATCCATACGGATTGGTAGGCTGCATGCTATGATAAAATTTTATTATTAAAACAATTTGATGAGAATTGAAATTAAATATTTTGTAATTTTTTATAAAAATTGATTAAATGCGTGGTTAAAATATTGTGGATCTAATAAAATATGTAGTTAAAATTAATTTGTTGATTTTGACTTAGTGCAAGTTTGGTTATGATTTTTCACCCAAAAAAATCAATTTTTTGACCGTTATTTCCTTAAATCAGCTGTCATTTTTTACTTCTTCTCTCACAAGTGGAACTCACTTTTCTCTTTAACAGTCAAAAATCAATTCTCATAATTACTACCGAACAAGCCCTTAAATTAGAATTTAGATTATAATCTCTACCAAATAGATGATAAGTCAATTACAAACTGTCTAATTTACAATAGTTAAATTAGAGGATTAGGTGAATTACGATATGAATAATTCATTTTATCGAAGGGTGCATTGTTTCAAACCAACCCCAATGCCGCGAATGATCATTACAACTAAACAAATATTAGTTTGACATTGTGGAAAGATATTCTTTTGGTAAAACGAAAGAAAGTGGAAACAAGAAGATGATGATGATAAGATTATTCTATTGTTACTGCTCATTGGGCCTTCAAGTTAATGACTACTTTTCATTCGGGGAGAGCAATATGGGCGGTTGGCGTGCTGCTACTTGTCTCTCTTTCCTTCATATAATTTCCACTTTTTTTTTTCTATTTATATTTTACAAATACCATGATTATAACCTTTTTGGAATAAAATTGCGTACAAGTTTAGATTAGGACAATGACGTGAATGTCATTTTCAAATTTACAAGTAGAAGGTGCATTTTCAAGTAAAGTAGTGCATTCATTGACGGTTTATGTTAAAAAGAAAGTAACATCAGACTCTTATCATAATCGATCAAACATTTCTCTGACTAAGCGAGGAACTTAACTTGTCATACTTCCATAAATAAAGCTCATCAAACAAGATTAATCCATCCACAAAAAATACTCCATTGAAGTATCTAAAAAAAAAATCATAGTTATTATAATCGAACTGGACACCAATAAACCAGACAATGATCCAGTCCGATTTGTGCTAATTGGTTCATTAGTATATGAACCAGCTAAGAACCATTCAAAATAGTCCATAATCCTTCAAATCGGACGAGTTTGGATGAAACCAGAATTGATTAGTTACCTAATTGGTTTAAAGCAAAATTTTATATCTCATTTGCAAAGAGTTGGATTCAAACATGTGCTCTCAATATGAATTATGAGAAGCTTGACCAACACGACAATTGATAAATCTTAACAATAATTGTGATAAATATAATGTCTCTTAGTTTTCAAAAATTATTTTTTAATTAAAATTTGATCTTGCGATGATCCAACATTTGAACCACCGATCCGATGACCAGATGATTTGTCCAAATCAACAATTGGGTTAGGTATGATAACTATGTAAAAATCTATTGCTTAACATGTAACCAATATAATACACAATTTTATTGATCGACAAAAGTCATACTTTGTTAAAGAAAGCAACAAAGAAAGTTATTGGAAAATAAAAATTCAGAAACAGTCAAAGCATGTTATCAAAAATATTGAACAATATATTTTTACCAACACGTGACATTGCTAAAATAGGAGAATTTGACAATAATATGTGAACACTGCCAAATATGCGCATTGTAAAAGGTTTTAACAGCAGGCACTAAATTTGCTAAATTTAAGAAACATGCCACTTTCAACTACTTTCTTTGACTGTTGTGTCAAAGTTGACTTTTAACAAAATGCATTGAACATTGTAAAAAAATGCAAAATATGTAAACTTTTTCAACAAAATATGAAAATTCCATAAATCATCTGAACCACTTGCAATATTTCTTGAAAGGCATTTTGGGAACTATAACTGTTTTAAGGGTCCGTTTGATTGTAAAGATGGAATTTGGGTAGAAATAAAACGAATTTCAGAGAATTGAATTCTCTAAAAATTATTTTCCTGATAATTGTAAATTATTATGTTTGATTGGTATAATTTTTTATGTAAAAAATGTTAAAATAAAAGTATTTTTTGCTGTACGTTTGACTTTATTTTACATAAAACTTGTCAATTAAAGGGATAGATTTTACTGGTATTGGGAATGAGATTTATTTCCATTGCCAACCAAAAAAAAAAAGAAAATTATCAATCTTTTGGTGTTCGTTTGACTTCGTTTTACATGAAAATTGTCAATTAAAATGAAATATTTTTTTACAATAATCATTAGAATTTGTTTCCATTGCAAAAATAAAATAAATAAAATAAAAATCCCTTGAACAATAGGTTGGAAAACAAAAACCAAGAAAATATTATTTCCCAAGGCAAGCAAGAAAATGGAATTCCATGGAAACTAAAACATATCAAACACACAAAATTGCAAAAATATGAATCAAACAGGCCCTTATTTCCATGCATATTCACCATTTATTTCAAAATTCTATTCTAATTCTAAATCACATCATTTTTATTATTATTATTATTATTATTATTATTATTATTATTATTATTATTATTATTATTATTATTATTATTATTATTATTATTATTATTATTATTATTATTATTATTATTATTATTATTATTATTATTATTATTATTATTATTATTATTATTATTATTATTATTATTATTATTATTATTATTATTACGGATTGTATTGGGATAGGCCTCTTGATCTCTCATTCTGTTGGAGATTTTAATGTCTCGTTCTAATCTTAATCCTCGCTTATGCAGAGGTAGGATAGGAATTCACATTTCCCGTTTCACTAATCTCGATTAAATAGAAAGAACGTCCAATTAAAGGTGATGCACAACAAGGATTGAGAGTAATGGATTTTTTTGCCATTCCCGACGTTGTCTACTCTTTCGATGATAAAATAATAGTACATCTTATATTAAGAGGATGTTTGGTAAGTGTTAAAATTAGATTATTTTTTTTAGTAGATTGTGATAAAAGTTTTTTATATGTGTAGTTGAAAAGTTGTGGACCCATGAAAGATGTTATTAATAATGATTATTTGACTTTGTCTTAAATTAAAATCAAATTTTAACTCAATCCAAACAGGCGCTAAATTAAAGGAATTTTATTATTATTTAGTTTAGTCAATTTACTAGTCTCAGGTGTCCAAAATTATGTTCGATGAATGTAGTAAAAGGATTAAACTTATAGTATTTATGATTCTAAATCAGATATTATTAGACAAGATTAAAAAAGTGATGTATACAGCATAATTATTGATCATGTGATTTTGATCCTATCTTCTATTTTTCGATATTCTAATATTTGGTTTTTTATGTTTGTTATTATACAATGAGAGAGGACAAAAGAGTAGTCTAGTTAAAAAAAATAAAATAAATAAAAATAAAACATTCCCTCACCAAAACCCAACAAGAAAATATCTAATTATTCTACATGAACTCCCCCCGTTTCGATCAAACCATCTAGTTTCCTTTGTTTATTGCGGAACATATCTCATTTCAAGATTTGTCGACTGTCTTTCTTTCATTCATCCATAGGGCCTTGGTCAATCACTTTTTTGGGCCGGGAGATCCTTTTCCATAGCCGGAGTTCGGAGGTTTTAAGGCAAAATTCATCGTTTTTCGCTCTCCCCCCACACCCCTGCCCTCGCTCTCTCAATTATTATATTATATTCATTCCACATAGATATGTTTGCTTTCCTTTGCTGCTCATTTCAAATTATATGTTACCTTCCTTGTTGAGATTATAATTAATGTCCCTATTTATTATCAAATCATTATTCAGTCCCTGTTTCAGCTACATTATTTTTATAAAAATGTATTTTTGAATAGTATATTAATGAGAAATGTATGGTTAAAAAATAAGGAAAAATTTTGAATTTGCGTATAATATTATTTTATTGAAGAATGTGCAATTGAAATGAAATCAAATCACTGTTTAAAAATATTGTTTTGAAAGAATGTGAGTCAAATGAGGCCTCAATATTGGGTATATCAAGAAAAATAAATGTAAAATTTATAGTTTCAACATATATTATTTAATTTTTTTTAATTAGTATGAAAAAATAAGCAAACTTATCTTTATGGAACGGAGAGACTAATAATAAACATTAAGAGTGTGTTTTGACATGAAAAATATCACTTATAAAAGAAAATATTTTCCTTTTTTGTGGGAACCAAAAATCTGCTCTTTAAAGAAAATATTTTCTTTAAAAAATAAGAAAAATTAGACATATTTTTAAAAGTTGAAAAATATTTTTACTTCAAAAAATAGCAATCAAATATTTAAAGTAGAAATTTGGGTGAAAATTTGATTTTTTTATGAAAATAAATGTAATCAAACACAACTTAAAATAACTTGTAATGGTAACGGGTAAGGATTAACACGTCAAACCTGATCTAGAAGCACCCTCTCACCTAAACCACCACCTGTTATTATTTAAAAAGAAAAAAGAAAAAAAAAAAAAAGAAAGGTCACGAGGTCGTTTCCGTCCATTCACATCCTAATCCGCGTCTCCATGAGGCCATTATCCTCACTTTCCCCCCTTCAAAATCGAACCCACAAACCAATTCTCCTACTCTCTACTTCTCCCTTTTTTTTCTAAATCGATAATCACAAAGTGTTTTTCTAATTAATTTTTGCAATTATGGCTCAAAAAACAGAGAAAGAAGAGACGGAATTCAAAGTCGTACCGGAGACTATCACGGTGTGTGTTAAATGCGGTGTTGCTGGTAATTCTGCGCCCAATGATTTGTGTAAGAAATGTTTCAACGCCACCGCAGCTGGCTCTGCATCCACCGTGGTCACGGCGGCGGCCGGATCTAAGAAACTATTTAGATCCAGCTCGTCCTCGAGGTCTTCGCTGGAGAGGAAATTCAATCAGGTTCAGATCCGTAAGGATTTGAAGAAAGAGGATTCGGATTCGGTGGAGGTTGTGCTGTTGAAGCGGGAGGTGAATCGGTGCTCCGGTTGCCGGAGGAAGGTAGGTTTGACCGGATTTAGATGCAGATGCGGCGAGCTCTTCTGCGCCGATCATCGGTATACGGACCGACATGATTGCAGCTACGACTACAAGGCCGCCGGACGAGAGGCCATCACGAGGGAAAATCCGGTGGTTAAAGCAGCTAAAATTGTCAAAATTTGAAGAAAAAATTATCAAATTTATACGCATGTGTGTCAATCCAGAAGCACGTGAAGTGAAGTTAATTGAAATTGATCAAAATTTGTAGAGCCTGGCTCGATCTTCATCGTTAACGTGTCCTTTATAGAAAGAGGACGTGAAATTGAAAGGGGAAAAGAGAGACGGAGAGGAAATTCGACGTTTCTTTTCCTTAAAATCTTCTGGTTTTGTTTCATCTTATGCTGTAATTTATTTCTGTTTAATCCGGAAATGGAAGGTTGTGCTTTCGAATAAATATATGCGTGTTGCAGTTTCGATTTCTGGGTTCATTTTGGAATAAAATTAAAATTTTGCAATTTACCTCTGACACAGATTCTGTGTTTCATACTTCACATAACGATTAACGAAAGGCATACTTTTGAAAATTCGATACCCAGTTGAGGGTAAATTTGTCAGTTGAAATAGAAACGACGGCCCAGATGGGGCCCGTTATGGGAGTGTGTCTGTCGTTTAAGATCGTGATAAATTGGCCTATTGAATCCAGGAGACGATAAAATGCTGAGATATGCCCTCGTCTATTTCCTGTTATTTGTCCAAAAATATGATCATTATTCATCACATTAAGCTATTATATTTGGCTATCTATCTCGTGTGATTTTAGTAATGACTATATTTTTCATTCTCATTTTTACATTAATGTGTACCAAATGAGGCCATTGTTACAAATTGTTGTCACACAAGTCTCTGGGGTTTTTTTGTTATTTATTTATTTATTTTATTTTATTTTTTTGAAAAATAAACCTACGAATTATTTCATCACTGCCTTTCTTTTTAAATACATTATAGTTGTTTATGTTTATTTTAATATTAGAATTAAAAGTTCTTTTTCTTTTTTTATGCTATGGAACCTTTTTTTTTAAATATGGAACCTTAAGTTTAAATATGGAACCTTTTTTTCTTTTTTTATGCTATGGAACCTTAAGTTTAAATTTTTAATTTATGTTTTCCCTCCTCTTCTCCATATCTAAGTTATATATATATATATATATATATATAATAATTATTATTTTTTAAAAGTTGAACAAAATTCTGATCCCATTCCTATTGTGTATATGTGTGTGTACTTTATATTTTTAGATATTCTCAAATTCTTATAATCGGTTTCTTAACTTTTACGGTATTATGGTCGTATTAGAATAATCCACCACAATACATCTTAATCAAATCCCCCAATCGTAATCTCCTAAACATATGCCCTCATCATTTACGGTGTATCAAACATGCAAGCCAGTAGGGAAATCAACTCAAATAATAATAACAACAAATAAATGTACTTATACGATCATAACAATAATGATAATAGACATATATATATATACACACACACACACAAGAAGAACAAGTTTGAATTCAAATACAATATCTAATATTTGAGTAGTTCTACTACGACTCGGTGACGAAAGGTTTTGAGTAGTGCTTATTTTATTAATAGCGTACATGTGATATCCTCTTCCCTTATTGCTGCATCGCTTGTGACGGTCGACCAAGGATTGCATGCGGTAGCAGTCCAGGGATCAACCATATTGAGCAGCCAAACATTATGTCAAAACATCTGACACTGTAACATGATTTTTTTTTTTTTTTTAAACTCTGTATTAAGAGTACATAAGGACACACGTACCTTCAAATCCAGTAGCTCTGAAGTGTCGAAGGAGTGAGGGTCATAGGACATCGAGTAAAATTCTTATAAAAGGTTAAAAGTTTTTTCTTTTTCTACAAGCTGTTGACAAATAAGATAGAATCTCTAGAAAGACATTAACACATGTAGAGAGGTCATCAAATTAAGAGATTGACAAACGTTGTGAAAAACATCCTAATGATAAAGAGTCCGGAGAAATTTCAAAAAACTAGTAACATTCCCCTGTTCAATAGTATTTTTAATGATCCAAATCCAGCTACGACTATAAATTGTATAAAAAGATTCATTTTCAAAAACACACAGAGTGCAGTACTAACAATGAAACAATCCTTACAAACTCAACAACTGATACCTCTCTAATCAAAGAAATACAAAATGGATCAGGTGGAGACTATTCTTGTAACCATGATGCATTTGAGAATCGACTTCGACTAACAAGAAGATATCTTCTGTACTATTTTACTAGGGCTTCTATGCCTACAATATTGTAAGAAGAAAGTTCACAGAAAAGAGGGCAAAAAGAAAGGGGAAAAAAAAAGGACTTATCAGAAACTTGCAGACTTCAAGATTTCAAAAGCTTCTTAACATCATCTCTAGTTGTTCAGAGAGGAAAAATTTGATGGAGGAGGTTGAGTAAGGGAACAGCATCATGTTGGCTTTGGCCACTTCTCCAAACTGTGAAACCTGGATGGAAGTAATCAGCATCACTCCACCGTTTCAGGTCGTACAATGAGAAGGGACCTTGAATGATACCCTGTGGATCCACGTAGTGCCATATCGGAGGAATGCACAGGTCCCCATAATCAATTTGTTGACCCTCATTTTTTGAGTTTTGGGGTGGCAATTCATCATCGCTCAAATCAATCACCTCCTGTTCCTCCGGCTTTTGTTGAGGGTTCATTTCTTCCAAATCCACAATCGTCATCAGTCCATAGTTTCCATTGACTGGTGGCTCAGAATGCTGCTTCTCTATCTGAACAAAGTCAGATGGTTGATCCTCTGCAATCATTTGCCAGTATTAGCAGGGGAACAAAAAGGGCTGCAAAACTATAGAGAAGATACATCATAAGCAGCAAACCATGTCTGCTGTTAACTGCAATATACCATCTAAGAAAGCTACTATGTATAAACCTGCAGAACGAAAAACAATCTAGAAGTTTAGGACATTCAAATCATTTTTGCTGCATTACTAGGTAAGATGCTTATGCTGGGATCAGGTCGCATCATTTATTACTGTTGCAACTGCCAAAGCACTGAAAGCAACACGAGTGAAAATAGAGAACCCAGACTTTGTATCCCTTTCACTTGTTTGAAAGTCTCGTTGGCTTCGGTTACTGAATACATAATTAGTTTGAGTATTGGAAAAATAAATTTAGGATTCCAAATAGTAGTCGATCATTTCAATTTGGAATAAATCCCTACAAAGATACCATTCTTCACCTGGCGGCTGTGCTTCATAATGGCTACATTTGATGATATTACATATAAAGGGTAATATGCAAGAGTCGAGAATGTGTAGAAAACCGGTTAATTAATAATTAATTTAGTATGATTGATGTACCTTATATAGTTATTTCCTTAGGTAAAGATATTTGCTTTCCTTAGATTAGGAGATTGTATTTCCATATTTATGTGTATCTGGTTGTATAAATATATTCATAGGGATGAAATAAAAATAAGACACAAAAATTATTGTGCGATTCATTAGCTTCTACATGGTATCAGAGCTAGGCATCAATTATCCTAGCACTCCATGACAGAAAACACAAAGAATCGGCCGGAGAAGTGTTCCAAACCAAGACGGAGGCAGTCTCCTCTATGGGCTCCAATAACCCTGAAAATTCCTCCTTTCAACTCACTGTCGAAAAATTGAACGGAAGGAACTTTCGAGAGTGGGCCCAATTGATCAAACTAATAGTTGAAGGTAAAGGAAATTTGGGTTTTCTCACCGGCAAAACCAAGAAACCGAGAGAGGCGACCCTGCTCCAAAAATGGAAATCGGAGAATGCCATGATAGCAACCTAGCTCGTCAATTTGATGATCCCACCATAGGTAAAACTTAACTATTTTTACCAACGACGAAGGAAGTCTGGGAGGCCGTAAAAGAAATATATTCAGATGTAGAAAACGCATCACAAATATTTGAGATTAAGACTCGACTGTGGCAGACTAAACAAGGAGAGAGAAGTCACAAATTACTATATGGAGATGACAAACTTGTGGCAAGAACTGGACCTTAGCCTCGAGGAAGAGTGGGAGTGCCCAGGCGACAGTGTGCGCTACAAAAAGAGGGTTGAAAACAAGCGGGTTTTTGAGTTCCTTGCCAATCTAAACCGCGAACTGGATGATGTGAGAGGAAGGATTTTAGGCCGGCGACCGCTACCCACTACACGCGAGGTCTTTGCAGAGGTTAGGCGAGAAGAAAATCACTGGAAAATTATGTTGAAGACCGACAATGATGAGGCGACAATGGAAGGTGTGTTGATGTCGAGAAGAACTGGTGGTGTAAGTAGACTGAAGAACCACAACAAGTTGGGTAATGGGCCAGGCAATACGATTAGTTTGGATGGAATAGGTGCAAAATCTGAAATAAATGGCCCCAAATAATAAAAAGGACATCCATGTTGTGAACATTGTCGAAAACCAAGACACAAAGAAGATACACGTTGGGATTTACACGGAAAGCCTGCTGATTGGAAACCAAGAAAAAATCGAGTCTATCAAGCTACAGTTGTTCTTGCTAAAAATTCTAAAGAAAGTAATTCTACTTTGAAATGTGCATTTATTCTTGAACAATTGGTAAAGCTGTACCAAATCTTTTCTAATCTTCAAAATTCGAGTAATCATTCCCCACATGGTCCATCAAGCTCACTAGCTTACAAAGGTAATCACTTGTGTGCCTTAACTACCTCATCAAAATACAAAACCCCGTCGATAATTGATTCAAGTGCATCCGATCATATGACTGGCTCATACCACCTTTTCTCCACATACACACCATGTGTTGGTAATGTTGTCAAAATTGCATATGGGTCCTTCTCAAATGTAGCAAGAAAAGGGAAGATCCAAATCTCTGATTCTATAATTCTAAATTCAGTACTTCATGTCCCGAAATTATCGTGTAATTTGGTATTAGAGCCCATTAAGCTCCAACGAGCAATTCGATCTGGTTAAGACTCTAAAAATGAGCACACGAATTTCAAGATTGGTCTAATCAAACGAGCCAACATCTTGCGGGGGCATATTAAGAGATAAAAAATCTCATATCGATTAAATCATCGAGGAAGACAATTGGTAGTGCTAAAGAGTATGCGGGGCTATACTACTTTAAGGAAGCTGATCTGAGTAAGCCAAATCAATTTGCAATTTGTGACTCTGCATATGCCTCTAGGGATAGTGAAATTTTATTGTGACTCCCATCTATTAATTCGAATAAAACTTCATTTGATCTTCAATGTAAAATCTGTGAACTAGCAAAACATCAACGAAGTGTATTTCCAAAATCCGTGTATAAACCATCTAAACCATTTACCATAATTCACAGCGACGTGGGAACCTTCACGAATCCCCAATCGCACTCATACTATATGGTTTATTACATTTATTGATGATCATACTCGTCTTTGTTGGATCTATACGCTAAAAGAAAAAATTGATGTTCGGTCCGTCTTCATCGAATTTCACTCGATGATACAAACACAATTCCAGACCAAAATTCAAATTCTCCGCATAGAAAATGGCACCGAATGCTTCAACACCAGTTTACAGGACTTCCTACTAAAACATGGAATAGTCCATCAAAGCTCCTGTGTCGACACACCTCAACAAAATGGAATTGCTGAATGGAAAAATACACCTCCTTGAAGTTGCACGTGCCTTAAATGTTCACCATAAAAATGCCAAACTTATATTGGGGAGATGCTATTTTAACATCTACCTATCTTATCAACTGAATGCTGAGTCGAACACTTAACTTTGAATCACCCCTTCAAAAATTTCAAAAATTATTTCCGACCTCATGCCTATAATCTACTTTGCCTCTTGAGAGTATTTGGATGTACATCATTCGTCCATATTCATGCTCACAATCGGAATAAACTAGACCCTCGTGCGGTTAAATGAGTATTCATTGGATACTCCACCACACAAAGGATACAAATGCTATGATCCTGTTACAAAAAGAACATTTATAAGCCTTGATGTCACTTTTTTCGAAAAAACACCTTACATTTAAAAGCCCTCTCTTCAGGGAGAGAACTTGAATGAAGATCGGTTCATAGATTTTAATCTTTCTCCTCTTGAACATACCCTAAATTCAAATTCAATGCCCAATACGCCACATATGGAACAGAACTTGAACTCAGGGGGAGATGCAGAAAATAAAAAAGACAAGAAGATTCTAATTTACTCAAGGAAGCTAAAAAGAAAGGAGAACCCCACATATGAAGCACCAAGAGAGTTGGACTCGATGATAGTTCCGGATCCTCATGAACCTGAATATTCTAATATTAACCTACCCATTGCACTCAGGAAACAAGCTCGATCTTTTACTCTTTATCCCATGTCAAAATTTATATCATATAATACTTTATCTACAAGATTTTGTACTTTTATATCTAACCTTGATAGTACAGCAGTTCCAAAAGACATTCAGGAAGCCTTGGAGATCCCAGAATGGAAAAAGGCAATGATGGAAGAAATGCAAGCTCTACAAAAAAATGAAACTTGGGAAGTGGTAGATCTACCGAAAGGCAAAAATCCTGTGAGATGCAAATGGGTATTTAATGTAAAACACAAAGCTGATGGAACAATAGAAAGATACAAAACTCGCCTTGTGGCAAAAGGGTACACACAAACCTACGGTATAGATTATACAGAAACATTTGCACCAGTGGCAAACTCAATACAATACGTGTTCTCTTATCTCTAGCAGCCAACTTGGATTGGCCACTTCAACAACTTAATATCAAAAATGCATTTCTAAATGGAAAAATTGGAAAGAAGAAGTGTTAATGACTCTACCACCAGGCTTCTACCTACAAAGAGAAAATCAGGTCTGCAAACTAAAAAGGTCACCGTATGGACTTAAACAATCACCAAGGGCGTGGTTTGATCTATTTGCCGAAGTGTTGAAGAGACAGGGTATCAGCAAGGACAGTCCGATCATACCATATTTTTTCAACAAGCGGAAAGTGGAATGAAAACAATTTTAATTGTATATGTTGATGATATAATTCTAACTCGAGACAACGTTATGGAGATAGAAAGACTGAAACACCCTTAGTGTTTCACAACGAAAATACATTCATGACCTACTATTTGAAACAGGAATGTTTGTATGTAAACCAAATGACACACCAGTTGACACGGGAAGAAGGGCAAAAGATACTGGAAAATCTATTGAGAAAGAAAGATATCAGCGATTAGTTGGAAAGTTAATATACTTGTCTCACACTAGGCCAGACATCGCGTAGTAAGTCAACATATGCACTCACCAAAAGAACCTCATATGGAAGCAGTATTTAAAATACTCAGGTATCTAAAAGGTTCCTCGGGAAAATGATTATTCTTCAAAAAAATGAGAGGAAAGAAATAGAAGTGCTTACTAATGCTGATTGAGCTAGTTCTACAGAAGATAGGAGATCGACAATTGGATATTGCACTTATGTATGGGAAAATTTGGTAACTTAGAGAAGCAAAAAACAAAATGTTTTAGCAAGAAGTAGTGCTGAAACTGAATTTCGAGCAGTGGCACAAGGAATGTTTGAAGGATTGTGGTTAAAGAAACTCTTGGAGAAGTACAGGTCAATGTAGAACTCCCAATTAAACTACCGTAACAATAAGGCAGCAATCAATATCTCACTTAATACAGTACAACATGATCGGACCAAAAATGTTGAAGTGGACAGACACTTCATTAAAGAAAAAGGTAGAAGATGGAGTAATATGTACGACTTACATCCCTACAAAGGAGCAAATAGCAAATATCTTCACCAAAGGCCTACCTCGACATAATTTTGATGAATTTATTTGCAAGTTGGACATGGTAAACATATATCGTCCAACTTGAGGGGGAGTGTAGAAAACCAGTTAATTAGTAATTAATTTAGTATGACTGATGTACCTTATATAGTTATTTCCTTAGGTAGGTAAAGATATTAGCTTTCCTTAGATTAGGAGATTGTATTTCCATATTTATGTGTATCTGGTTGTATAAATATGTTCATAGGGATGAAATAAAAATGAGACACACAAAAATTATAGTGTGATTCGTCAGCTTCTACAGAATGTGTCCCTATGCGTGTCAAACATGCATTGGTTATTATTTATTTCCATGCTTTCAGTTCAGACAAGATTGCTGTCAATAGTAAATGTTCCATCTTGCTCTCTAAGGTGACATGAAGCAAATATTAATTGCCTTGCAACTAATTAAATTGTATCTTCTCCCCCCTTTTTCGAGTCCTATCATTACTAGATTGGGCTTGTATCCTTGTAGCACATGCCCTAGGCCAAAAAATACTACAACGCCAGTTGTCAGTTGCCAACTTTCAAAGATTCCAAAAATAGATAGCTTGTAACTGGATTAGTATGGGTTCTTTTGACTACCTATATAAATAAAAAATCCATAAATAGCTTCTTTAAGTGCATGAAAAAAGAGAAGAAAACATAATCCAAGTATGGAGCAATTAAAAGGTGATTGAATTACCACCAGGATTATTAGCGGCTATGACTCCATATACGAAGCCTCCATATTTTTTTCTGTAAGCTTCTGAATCATTTACAATAAGTTGGGATGGTGACACAAGATCCTTGATCCCTGGAATGCATTACAGAACTGGATGAGAAGATGGCAGAGTACATAACTGCAAATCTTTGACTTGCATTGGCTTAATAAATGGCTTCTTTGGATGATATTTTACGAAGGATCTGCTTTTAAATCCTAGAATTCAGAAAGTTATATCATGGAAATAAATACTACTGGCAGGCTGTTGGTTAAATGGATATATGCACTTGCACACCCACACGACCAAATATCAAGAGTCAGTGACTTCATCGAAACTCTGCTGCCAAAAATAAAAGGGGGGGGGGGGGGGGGGGGGGGGAACGTATGAAGAAAAACAAGTGAAGCACCCCACAGCATACAGGCGGAGGAGTCTTTAGGCAGTCTTTCCCTATTTCCGAGCTCGGTTGGTTAGCTCCTTTAGTACTCATATTGTATTTGCTTCTCATTGACTAAACTGCTGACTGGCTAGTTGGAGAGTGATTAACCAATCTCGGGGAAGAGGGACACCCACATATGTACCACAGATTCTAGAATCAGACAATATGTAGGAGTTGCGTGAGTGCCTAAGATTTATGTGTTATTCACTTCCATGCTTTCAATTCAAACAAGGTTGCTAGCAACATATATGCCCCATCTTGCTCTCTAAGGTGACAATATTTGTTTTTCTATGTCCAAAGCTATCTATTTAGTAATTCATCTTTTCAGGTACACGTATTGAATCAAATATTGATTTTTGTGTTACCTTGTAGCTAATGCAATTATATACATTATATCTTCTTGTCTCAAAAATGTAAATTATATCCAAAATTCCCGATAATCCCACTCTTTCATTCACTTCTTATGTCAATCTAATTTACACCATCTCATAAATAAATTTTTATTTAATCCTACCACTCCTAGATTGGGATTGTACCCTTGAAGCACATGCACTTGGCCATGAAAAACCCTAATAACATCATTTATCAACAGCTCAACTTTTCAATATTCCATATATAGATAGCTTTGTGAGAATATTAGTGCTGCAGCTTTTACAACATACAAAAAAATCAACAACAAAGCTTCTTTACTTCAAGTGTGAATACACACAATAAAACATAATCCAAGTATTGAGCAAGTAAAAGGTGATTGAATTACTACCAGGATCATTAGCAGCTATGACTCCATCCATGAAGCCTCCACAACGTTCTCTGCAAGCTTCTGAATCATTCACAATAAGTTGGGATGGGGACACAAGACCCTTGGACCCTGAAAATTCATTACAAGAATTAAATGAGATTACAGAGCCCTCAACTGCAAATCTCTCACTGCCATTAGCTTCATAAATGGCTTCATTGGCAAATCTTTTTATTCTTACTCTTATTGATTGTGCCCTGTTTCCTTATAAAACATAAAAAATCCATAACAGGACCATTGTATTTTAAGCATGTGAGAAAATACAATAAAACATAATCCAAGTACTGAGGAAGTAAAAAGGAGATAGAATTACCATCTGGATCATTAGGAGCTACGATTGCATCCACAAAGTGCCCAGGCCGTTCCTTGCCAACTTCCGAACCATTGAAAATATGTCCGGGTGGGGACAAAAGATCCCTGGTGCCTGAAACTGCATTACAAGAACTGATGAGGAGATTGCAAAGAGCAGTTAAGCTTCCAAACCATTGGAAATATGTCAGGGTGGGGACGCTAGATCCCTGGGCCCTGAAACTGCATTTCCAGAACTGAATGAGAAGATTGCAGAATGCAGAGCACATAACTGCAACTTTCCCTCCCAAACAAAGGATCTTATATAAGCCCTAGATGGTTTCCAACAGTAACAGAATATTGGAGTCACTATGCTCTATGCATATAAAACTAGATAGAAGGATTAAGCACTAACAGCTCATGAGAAAACACATTCTCACTTGCATCTGGTTCCTCAAAAACAATATACCAAAATCCAAGTTAACCCTTCAACATTTTTAATTAGAACAAGATAGATGATTGGAAACATCTCGATACAATGTATAAAGATAAATAATTTATTAAAAATGTTCAATTTGATCTAAATATATTTTGTCTCTTCAGGAGAAACACCTGTTGTGTGTTTCATACTTCAAAAATGGGGGGTTTGCTACTAAAAATTGATCAATTGAACCAATTTTTTTTTTATATCTGAAAATTTGTTTCGCAAGTCTTTTATAACTCAGGCACTGAAGGTAATTGAACACTCAGCAAAAATTGATTTATTTACGGCAAGGACATTGTATATTATCGTATAATATTTCATAATTATGGATACAACATATGTACAATGAAAAATAAGATCATAATGAACATGATTTACTATATGCGAGTGGGTCGATTTTTTTAAATCATTCACTAGAGTTCCTTTGTTCTACAAGAAAAATGGGTGGTAATTTATTGGAGACACAAACCAAAATGGGGAACTAGCAGGTGTGTGCATGTATTTACAAGTGCGCAACATAAAACACATGCTTAGTGTTTTTTTTTTTTTTTGGCTTTAGCTTATTTCTATGGAGTTGAATCGAGATACACAAAACATTTGAACAAATATTAAGTGGGTATTATCCTTTTTAAGAGGCGCCACTTAATTATATCAGATATATTTAATCAAATAAATAATTACTTCAGTATCAAGTGTTGGCATTATCAGTCATCAACCAAATCTATGAATTGTTATGGTGTTTCTAGAGAAAAAAAAAAATTAGCATAAAAATGGCAATAGTATTGGAGAAAAAGTTAAGGAGAAAAACTAAGAGCAGTACTTATGGTTGAAATGGATGATATGATAATGTTAAAAAGTTGAACCGTAACAAAACAAATTGCCAAGCCTCAGTTGACTTAATAAGCAAAAGTTCAGTTAGCTTGCACAAAAATGATAGTTTGGAGTATCTAAGCTAGTGTGTCCAATGATAAGCAGGTTTGTTGTTCTTTGTTAGGGAAAAAAAAATATGCTTGGTGATTTAGATGGCCTCTCCCTATTCTACTAGAAGTCTTTCTACTCTATATAAAATTCTCATATAATCCGCTCAATTCAATATAGTGAAATGTAACTGAAGATTGGTATTGTGCTAGTGTATATTTGCTTAGTCACTTGTCAGGGTAAACAACATACACTGAGGAACCTGTGAAGCATGATGGAATGCAAATATTTGACACATCACCACTGACACCTTGGAACATACTTTCCACATGCCATGAAGCTCGTCTTATTTTTCAAATATTTTCTTAAATTTATCGGAATCTGTGACATTTGAAGCAGTTATTGGACTTCAGACAACAAACCTGCAGCATCTTTAATGGAGACATCTGAACTCCCTCTAAATATTGATTGTGGGGAGAAACTAGTTCCTTCTGCTTTTTCTCTAGCTGGAACATTGTCTAGGTCTAGTTCTTCAGCAATCACTTTTGGAATATTAAGCAATAATTTCTCTTGTTCAGATGGTATCTGCAGCAGCTTCCTTCTTTCTAGGTACTCGAATTTTGTAAATCTAGCGAATTAAGGAAAAGGTGCAAAACATGTGACTAGAAAAATGGATGCAGAAATCAAAGAGGCACAGAAGCAGTCATAACGAAGTGTTGCTTGTTTACAACTAGTTGTTACAGGGATCCAGCTCTCAACTAAAAATGTATAATGAAGATGTAAAATGGATACAAGTGATATTCAACTGCTTGAGGAACTTGTACCGAAGTTAAAACTGCACATCTGCGGGTTAAACTTTGATACAAGTCCTCAGCATTTTCTGTTTAGCGTGAATATATCAATTTCATGATTAGACGTGGTTTACAACTCAAGTAAATTTCATAAGTTTAATTATAGAAATTTGAACATTACTTTCCATGGAGACAATCTTTATAAATAAGTTGGAGATCCTTCAGCTGATTGACCAACCAACACTAGTGAAACCCCGAAAAACTGGCAATGCTTAAGAGTGTAAAGTTCAGATATAGTGACACGTTATGCCATACACAGCATTCTACTCAAGAATATCAATGAAACAATAAAGAAAGTTGGAGTGCTTAGGATGTAAAGTTCAGATGCGGAATGCTGTGCCAGAGACACAAGTCTATTTAAGAAAATCAGTCCCTTAAAACTTAAAATATAGCCGCTCCTGCAATAACTGGGTCTATTAAAGCTCAGATAGGAAGCCTGTGAGTTATGTATAAAAGTTCACATGGAAGGTGAGAATTACCTTCTAATTGTGACTCCACTTGAAAAACTGGAACTTTTACTGAAAGCTATTCCAGAGACTGGCACTAATTCAGAGTGCCAGCTCATGTAATGAAAGACAAGTGCTTCCATTCTATCATGCATTCTGAATCTATCTATTCCTGAATAGAATTACAAAAAAAATCATCGTTTTTATTCTTGTAAAAATACATCAGTAGGATAGTGTTCCACCTTAGAGGGAAACCTCAATGTGATAAAGGGGGCTGTATAGGAATTAGGTGCTCGTTTTCACTAGGGTTTAGCTTTCCAAGCTTTTGGTTACATGGGCTCAATTTCCAGATGTGAAGTAATGGAATAGTAGAACAACACTAGAAGCTATGTTGCATTGCATGAAAGAGCGTTCTTTTGTCCTAGGGGGATGATTGGGATGTTAATCAGAAATACGCATTAACAAAATTCAGAATGAGTGCTTTACTAATTAAAATTAGACATACTAAAGGATATTCTTTTCTCCATCCTTTTTCATTGGCACGATCAATGAGATTTTGTAACAACGAAAGCTCTTTTGGAATCCACTGTAGCCAAAACAAAACACAATTGGAAAAGATATATAACCCGGAAAAATAAATAAATAAATAAAGTGAGAGAGAGAGAGTTCAGATAATAAATGTAGAAATTGTGAACATCACAGTGGAAGATTGTATGAAACAACTTGAAACTCAAAGCAGGATCCAAAGAAATAATTATCTCTGAAAAAGGATTAATATCATTTATCCATATGCGTGTATATACATCTTCACATAATCATTTCAAACAATCATTTCTAGGTTGGTATGTCATTCACAAGACAGTTAATAATAAGCCCCCGTTTGATATAGATTAAAATCAGATTTTAGTAAATTTTGATAAAAGTTGAACAATGTGGTTGAAAAGTTGAGGACCCCATTAAATTAATTGTTGAATTTGACTTGATATTAAAATCAAATTTTAATTAGAATCAAATAGGGACTAAGTTTTGAGTGCACTCCCTTTACCCACTAGATTTAGTATAGTTATAAATTGCACTATACTTCAATGAGATGAACAATCTCATTGAATTGTCACTTAAAATACGACCAACTTCCAGATTGTCCAAATAATATTTAGCTTTAGTCAGCAGCTCAGAATAATGTGATGGCAATCCTTATTCCCATTCAGTTCCTGTTGATATTATTCAATGGACTCAACAAAACCTGATCCAGTAATTCTTGTGGATCAGATGAACAGATTATTTGGTTCCACTTTACTGTGTGCCCTTGTGATCAATGTTTTACAATAATGTCGGATTAACATAATTATCCACCTTTACCCAGCTTTGGTACCAGTTGCACTACACAGGTATAAGCACCATCAAGTTCTAATTGACTCTCCAACTTCTCAAAATAAACGGTTAGTGCCCCAATTTACAAAAACATAGTCATAACTCACTGTCAAATTAAGGTACAAAAGGCATTGACTACAAGCAGTTATTTGCTGAATGAGCTCCACAATCTTGTACATGCTTCACTTGTTGATTATTATTGAATGTCCTCAGCAAGAAATACAACAAGATACAACTTGGCACAACCAAGAGAGTGAACTATGGTACAATAAGAGTAAAAGTGGAATCCAAAACCTTTCCAAGTCTGACTGTGGTGCCATGTCAAGGCAACCATCTCAAGACCAATCGTAATGAATAAAATCCCTAAGCTACTTGTTTGAGATGCAATAGTTAAAGTGATGTAAGGAAATCACCAATAAAGCATAAGAATTTAAACATCAAATTAAATAGACTTCTTAAAATATTTGTCTCGCTCATGTTTCATGATATTACTAATGATATTTCAAGATTTCAGAATATCAGCATTTATTATCATTGGCATGCACAGTTGGATTCTAACAGGATTCTTACACTATGAGATATCAATTTGCATGTGATAATGATAATTTCCATCTGATTCCCTATCTTTTAAGAATCTGAATGTGCATGGACTGTTTACCGAATTTGACAAACAATTCGAATTGTTTCTTTAAATGTAATAGGATCTTTAAATTTTTGGTTAGGGTTAGACGAAAAACAAGATCTTATTGCTAGGAAATAGTACAAATATTGTATAAATCATTAATAGGTTTTCTGAGTGATCAGTTTTGAGATTCTTGGTAAGCTTTCTTTCTCCTCATCGATCTGATTGAACAAACCAATGCTATTTGATTTGTAATCATATTGGTTCTAGGTATAAAAACTAATCCACAGTAAAAGATTCCAGTTTGGATGATTGTTATTTCAAAAGTACATATTAGCAGTGCAGAACACAAGTTCATACTTCTGATAAGCCCCCAACCAAGTTTACATATACCAGACATGCAAAAGCCAAGCAAGCACATGGTGGAGGAGGGTAACGACTGGACAGCAGGGCAGTAGGAGCTTCTAGAAGAATGCTGAGTCAGGAAAAAAATGGTTATGCTGTTTGTTATAGTTAGTTGAGGAATGGGTTATAAATAAACTTGCAGGGGGGTAGGAAAAGGCATGAAAGAAATCCAGTGAGTAGTAGGACGTGGAGATTTGTAATTTCCATTGAGTCTTTTGTTCCAATTATCTTTATGAAGCAATTTTTTTTCTTTTCATCTGTGTTGTTTGTTTAGTGAGCTCCGGTTTCTATCTTAACGATGTGGTATCAGAGCATTGAATCCAACCTCTACAATCATGACCCTTTCAGATCGCATGGAGTCATTAGAACAACAAGTAGCAACAATTCAAGCAGGCATGGATAAACTGAGGCACAAATTTCATCAACTCCAGAGTGAAATAATGGGCCAACTGGAATTGCTGATGAAGGCGAGGGAGACCCACGATCATAACAGAAAGGAGAAAGGGGTAGTCATCAAAATCGGGTTTGTCACTAATGATGGGAGGTGCACAGGCAAGTGCAAAGGGGAGTCAGAGCAATGGAAGTGGGATAGAGAGCGGCTGGAGATCAGAGTCACGCATCAGACGGCTGGGCATGCCTGTGTTCGAAGAGCATGACCCGTAAATAGAATGTCAGAAGAAGAAAAGTGGGAGGCGGCAGCCATGTGCTTGGATGGGGACGCCCTAGCCTGGTTCCAATGGGAGGAACATCGCCGGCCGATTAAAAACTGGGAGGAGCTGAAGATAAAATTGCTGCACCGGTGTTGTTCAACACAAGAAGGTTCCCTGTGTGCCCAATTTTTGGCCCTCCATCAGATGACCACCAGCAAGGAGTACCGTCGGCAGTTTGAGAAGCTTGCTTCGCCGTTGCAAAACATTTCCGAAGAAGTATTAGAGTGCAATTTCTTGAAAGTCTCAGTCCACGTATTAAGGCTGAGGTCCAACTTTTAAACCCAATGTGCCTCGAGCAAATCATGGACCTGGCCCAACGAGAAGAAGAAAGAGATGCTATCTTAAAATTCAGCCCAAGGGCAACCACCCCAAATCAGATGAAAAATGCCCAGAGGATTCTAAACCCACTAAATCCACAGGCCTCTACAAACTTCCAAAAGCAGACGGTGCTCGTCAGAACTAATCTCCAATCATCCGAGCTTCTCGTTGAAACCTATCTCCACTTTCAAGCGTTTGATAGACACCAAACACCAGGCAAAGAAGGAGAAGGGTTTATGTAACATGCGTGATGAACGGTTTACCATTGGGCATCGTTGCAGGAATAAGGAGCTTCAAGTGATGGTGATCAGGGAAAATGAGGAAGAGGATCCAGGGGGAGGTGATGAACTGATCTTAGATGGCGTCGTGTGACCACATTTATAAGCAGACGGGGGCGACTAGCGGTGAAGTGTTAAGGGTGGAGGGACCGATGGAGCTGTCCATCAACTCAGTGGTCGATCTTACCACTCTAGAAATAATGAAAATCACAGGGCACATTGGGAGCAAAGGTGTGATTGTCTTGATAGACTATGGGGCCTCACATAATTTTGTCTCTAAAGAGGTAGTTCAACAGCTTGCCGGTTATGAAGTTAAAATGAGCACGGGGTAACTGTTAAATGGGAAGGAATCTATAAAGGGGTAAAGTTCCAATTCCAGAATGTGACAATATAAGGTGACCTTCTGCCTCTAGAATTGGGCAGCTCGGACGTCATCCTTGAGATGCAATGGTTGCGCAAGTTAGGAGAAATGCAAGTTAATTGGCAAACTCTTACAATGACATTTACCGCCGCTGGAGTGACGGTAACTCTGAAGGGGGACCCTAGCCTGAGCAAGACATTAGTGTCTATGAAATCAATGGTAAAGGCGCTTAAAGCTCCGAGGGAGAGAGTGTTGTTGGAGTTGGGAAGCATTGCGGTTCAAGCCAATTCAAAGTGCCCAAAGGTCCAGAACTGATCACTAAGGAACCGGAAGATTTTCACGTCGTCTTTGAGATGCCTCACTGTCTGCCTCCCCGTCTACCTCCCCCGAGAAAACACAATCATGCTATCAATCTGCAGCCCGGATCGACCCTAGTAAGTGTACGACCGTACCAATATCCTTACTTCCAAAAGAGTGAGATCGAGACGCTTGCTCGAGAAATGTTAGCAGCAGGACTAATCCAATATAGTATTAGCCCGTTCTCGAGTCCAGTGTTAGTTAAGAAGGAAGATAGGAGCTGGAGGCTTTGTGTTGACTATCGGGCTTTGAACAAAGTGATTGTTCCCGAAAAGTTTTCGATACCAGTGATTTTGATGAATTGCTTGATGAGCTGGGACGTGTCACCATATTCTCCAAGATAGCTTTGAAATCAGGATATCACCAAATCAGAGTGAAACCAGAAAATGTACCAAAGACACTTTTAGAACCCATGAAGGACAATACGAATTCCTTGTCATGCTCTTTGGGCTGACAAATGCTCCGGCGACCTTCCAATTACTCATGACCAAGATCTTAGGAATTATCTACGGAAGTTTGTGTTGGTATTCTTTGATGATATCCTAGTTTACAGTCGCACCACCAAGGAGCATAGAGATTACTTGAGAAGGGTATTGCAGGTGTTGGCCGACAACCACTTATATGCTAATGAGAAGTGCATGTTCGGTCAGCAAGAATTGAAATATTTGGGGCATGTCATTTCAGTTTCTGGGGTAGCGGCAGACGAATTTAAGTTGGTGGTTATGAAGGATTGGCCTAGGCCAACGTCTATCAAGGAGTTAAGGGGATTCTTAGGGCTCACGAGATGTTATCACCGCTTTGTGAAATCATACGGGAGCATAGCTTGGCCCTTGAAGCAACTTAAGAAAGACAGCTTTGCGTGGACAGAAGAAGTAGAGGAGGCGTTCATCAAATTGAAGAATGCCATGATGACTGTGCCAGTTTTAGGATTGCTCAACTTTATGCAAACCGTTTGTGGTAGAAGTTGATGCATCTGGATATGGAGGAGGGGCAGCTCTAATGCAAAACACGAACCCATTGCGTACTTCAGTCAAACACTACCTCCACGGGCTCGGTACAAGTCAATATATGAAAGTGAACTCATGGCCATTTTGTTAGCAGTACAGAAATGGAAACATTGCCCTTATTTGAGCCGCATTTTGAGGGGGAAAATGAATTTTTGAATAGTGTCTTGATGTGAAATGTGTGGTTAAAAAATAAAGAAAAAATTTGGATTTGCGTGTAATATTATTTTATTGAAAAATGTGTGGTTGAAATCATGTCAAAACACTGTAGAAGAATTTATTTTCTCCAAAGAATGGGGATCAAACAAGGCCATTACCTGTTGGGAAGCAAATTTGTGGTATGGACTGATCAACGAAGTCTTAAATTTCTGCAGGAACAAAGAGAGGTGAACCAAGACTATCAGAAATGGCTTACTAAGCTCTTGGGATTGGATTTCAACATTGAATACAAAGCTAGTCTAAAAAATAAAGCCACGGACGCCCCCTCTAGGATGGATGCAACGGTAGCATTGATGGCCCTAAGCATACCCCATACTTTCGAAGTGGCAGCAACCAGAGGAGCAATAGAAACAGACAAGGAACTGAGCCGGGTGCTAAACTCTCCGACATGGTCGTACACAATTTCCCGGGTATTCCTTGTTGCAAAATAATCTGATGTATAAGGACAGACTAGTCCTCCCAAGAGACTCCACTTTTGTACAAATGGCCTTACAAGAAGGGCATGGTAGCAACATAGGTGGACATGGGGGCTTCTTGAAAACTTACCAAGCAATAGCAGGGACCTTCTATTGGAAGGGAATGAGAAAAGACATCAGGGCATATATAGCTGCATGTGATGTTTGTCAACAACAAAAGTACTCCCTTCTTGCTCTAGTGGGATTGCTCCAACCACTCCCCGTTCCTGACAAAGTATGGGAGGACATTTCAATGGATTTTGTAGAAGGGTTACCAAAATCGGAAGGGTTCGACTCAATTCTAGTGGTAGTAGATCGCCTCAGCAAATATGCACATTTTATTAGCTTAAAGCACCCTTTCTCGACCCCATCAATTGCTACAATTTTTGCTCAGTAAGTGGTTAAGTTGCATGGAATACCACGCTCCATAGTCTCAGATCGAGACAAGGTGCTCATGAGCCAATTTTGGAGCGAGCTTTTAAGATTGCAGGGGACTTTGTTAAAGCACAATTCGGCATATCATCCCCAAACTGATGGTCAGACAGAGGTGGTCAATAGGGGGCAGAGACATATTTATGATGTTTTGCATCGAAGAAACCAAAAAGAAGGTATTAGTTTCTTCATTGGGCGGAGTATTCATATAACACCACCTTCCATGTATCGGCCCAACTTACTCCTTTTCGCATTATCTATGGACGTGATCCACCTCCGTTAATTCGCTTTGAGAAAGGCACAACAGCAATATCAAGCTTGGAACAACAGATGCTTGAACGGGATAAAGTTTTAGACAAATAAAAGATACATCTCCATAAGACCCAACAGCCAATGAAATTGGCGACTAACAAACGAAGAAGAGACGTGGAGTATAAGGTGGGAGGTTGGGTATATTTGAAAATGAGGCCGTAAAAGCGTAAGACACCGGTGACACATCACAATAGAAAGTTGGCCCCAAGGTACTATGGACCGTTTGAGGTGGTAGCAAGAGTAGGGAAGATGGCTTATCATTTGTCACTACCAACTACGGCTCGTGTCCACCCTGTGTTTCATGTTTCGCAGTTGAGAAAGGTAGTGGGCAACGTCCTGTATCTTCTTCCTTGCCTCCTCAACTAGAGGAACATTGGGAGTTACTTGTGGAACCGGAGTTTGTCCTAGGATTCAGACAACCACATCGGGGCACAACAAATGCAGCGGAAGTCTTGATCCAGTAGAAAGGCCTGTCACCTATGGAAGCTTCGTGAGAGCCATTCGACTTGATTAACCAACAGTTTCCTTCTTTCAACCTTATGGACAAGGTGACTACATTGGGAGGAGTATTTGATAAGCCCCCAATCAAATTTACATATACCAGACGTGCAAAAGCCAAGCAAGCACATGGTGGAGGCAACTAATGATTGGAGAGCAGGGCAATAGGAGTTTCTAGAGGAATGCTAAGTCAGGAAAAAAAATGGTTATGCTGTTTGTTAAGAGTTAGTTGGGAAATGGGTTATAAATAAACTTGGGGGGGTAGGAGAAGGCATGAAAGAAATCCAGTGAGTGGTAAGACGTGGAGATTTGTAATTTCCATTGAGTCTTTTGTTCCAGTTATCTTTATTAAGCAATTTTTTTTTCTCTCATCTCAGTGTTCTTTTGTTTAGTGAGCTCCGGGTTCTATCTTAACAACTTCTACCCATGTACGCATTCCAATAATTCAGTGTGATATGAAAAAGGTGAGATCACAAACAGACAAGTTTTAAAGAACTGAAAAGTTGAAACAGGAGTGGGAGCTAATTAATATATTTGATACTTTATCTCATCCTAAATTAAAATATGGAAGTAGTAGTACGTACATGCTTTGTTATGTCCACATGCAAGAGTTGAGCCTTTATTTCAAGCTCCACCTGTCAATATGTTAAAAGTATAAATACAAGAATTAAAAAGAATGTACCAAATGATAGAAATTTTATTTTTAAATGAAGTACACAGATTACACATTGAGCAGAATGTCCAGGTTATGCTACACACAGCTAAATTATCAAACAAAAGGGCAAATTGCTAATCAAGTATATAAACTAATATCAGGCAGGAAAAGACGTTGAAAGAACTGCAATGGCAATGAGTCCTAAGACTCTTGAACCTAGGAAATTTTCAAAAATAAGTTGGAAAAAAATTATTCTATTGTAACAAGGATGAAGAGGGGGAAGAAGAGAAAAATAAGGCAATTACTGGAAAAAGTGAAGGTACATCATAAAAAGAAGTTTCAACAACCATGAAGTCATAATATCAGGCAGCTCTGGAACCCCCAGAATTGATTTTTAATTTACTTCAAGCATATTCATAAAGACACAATTTACAGATTTCTCTCTCCTTCCAATCTCTCAATTGTACTTGTAATGGCTGCTTATAATGAATATTCACATGAATACCCGCAAGAAATACCAATCAAAAGTTTCCATTAGAAGGTACCATGTATATTACGGCAATCGCAAATATGTTACAGTTCGACACCTTGTAGTACATATAAAATGCTTTTATCTAAAGCTCATTTATGTATTTATTTACTAGGAAAATAGCACTGGGCTGGGATGTTGGCTGGAGTTATCATTTGGACCAAGCATCACAAAAAAGCAATGAATTCTGCAAGTTCCAAGTCTATAAAGTATCCAAACCCTGCTAGCTCTATTTATTGAGTTAAGCAACATATGGGGACCCAAATGCCAAAAAGAATTGGTTAGGAACTGGTGTACCCTTATGCAAAGGGTAGGGAACTTCCTTATTTATTTGCAGCGTGTTGCAGCAAATTATCATTACACAGTTCAAGGATTTCCATTTATCACGTGTCTTCCTCAAGCCAATATTTGTAAACCACGTGAAGTGGTGTACCTCAACCACTATCATACATTTATATCACCATAGAGACCAATATTTAGAAACCACACAGAAAAAGTAAAGCCATATTTCGATACAGACGTTTTCAAGATGCCTATAATAACCAACGAATGACAAGTGTTTTTCCTTGTGTGGATCCTATTTCAATATCCTTTCCTATTTGATCCATTTGAATTCCATATTGGAAGTTACAATCAGATTTACTCATTAAAAAGAATTGATGCAATACATTTCTTATACACCTATAGGTTATTGAAAATGAACCAAATTTCGGATCAATATATATTTATTGACTGTTTAATGTTGTTGCTAGCAAATACCACTATCTTTGATTTTGGATCTTTCAAATCATTCTTGTAGGAGGTCTAGACCCCTTTTTTTGACTCTTCGAGAAAAGATTCATTCTCTTCATAAAAAGTAGGAGGTAAAACCAACAAATATTTCCTTTCCGATTCATCCATGGCCTCTTTTGACAATTGTTTTTGATCCAATCCGTAGAAATCAATAGAAAAGGCAAACCCTTTCGATACTCTAGTTGCGGCTCAATTATTGATAGAGTGAATAGATCTTTCATTTCTTGGAATCTATCTTCTAATAAAATATTCGTATAACATGTATCATCGATTGTTCCTGTCACGAAATAAATGAAATAAATCAAAAAATAGATTTTTTTAAGAATGAAATCGTATTGGAACAGTCCGTATCCAATTAATCTTTTGGAACCGGACAAACTTTTGATTGAATGATTTTTCCATGGGGATTCCTTACATTATATAGGAATAAGTACAATCTAAATAGGGTAAGTGTAATTAAATTCTAAATAAAATTATATACAGATTTAAGTTAAATAGACAATATTTGGTAAGCCGTAATCTTCGTCAACCTGTGTCAATCTCATTGACATCCTCCTCAAATTGATGTTGGATGATAAAAAAAACATCAATTTGTTGTTCTTCAAAACCATATTACCACGATCTACCTAAGCCCAACAATAAACATTTAGCCTAAAATCCAGAAACCAAGTCTGTAACCCATAACCTGAACTACAAAACTTTACCCCATAACCCATTAAAATCAGCCTTATTTCCCAAAAAAAATAAAATAAAAAATACGCTAGCCAAACAAAATACCTATATAACCCAGCAGAGTACCCACATATAACCCTGTCCACTACCAATGTCGTTGCTGTCAACAGAGTTGAAGGTGGCTTCTTTTTTTGACATAAGAGATTCTGCTTTAGGTGTCGGTGCAAGCTGATCTTCATCTTCCCAAGATTCTTTCAAATCATTATCTTCCACATCCTCATCATTCCATTTAGTCTTTGGTTGATCCTTTTTAGGAAGATCTGGAATTGGCTCGTCCTCCCAGTCCTCCATAAAATATCAACTTTTGCCTACTAGAAGGCTTCAATATATAGATAACAGCTAAAGTTTGAATTGATTGACCGGCGAAAATCACAATTCACAATCTCCAATCAACCATGATAAACTTCTAAAAATATTCGATTTTTTTTTTCTCTCAACCTTTTTTTTTTTCAAAATACATTTCTCTCTTCTATTTAACCACATTCTTTAATAAAATAATATTACACGCAAATCCAAAACTTTTTCCTAATTTTTTTAACAACACTTGTTCAATCAATCTACTATTACAAAATACATTCTTAAAATTTTAATGAGGCTCAAACAGACTCTCAATCTCCAATCTACCTCCTATGTCGGTGGCTTCACCGAATCTCCATATCTCCAAAACCTAATTTATTACTTTTATTCTCAATGCACCGAAGAGTCATCCGTTTGCAAAAATACTGGCAACCGTGGACCACCACAAGAGTCACAAGTTGATAAATATTCTATCACCCATGGACCACCACAAGAATCACAGGCTGACAAAAATTTTGTCAACCGTAGACCACCACAAGAGTCAAACGTTGACAAAAATTTGTCAACTACTACAAGAAACCCACACTTGGGAGGCTGAGTTATAAATTGTTAAATCTTATAACCAAAGAAGCAGAGGGTTCAATATAAAGCTCACGAGGCAGACTTTGATACCATAACAAACTTTTGACTGAATGATTTTCCCATAAAGTCCTTGCATTATATAGGAATAAGTACAATCTAAATAGGATAAGTGTAACTATAACCTAAATACAATTATATGCAGAATTATGTTAAATGGGCAATATTTGGTAAGTTGTTATCTTCAAAAATCTTCGTAATCTTCGTCGATCTCATTGACATCACACCTCGCATATGATAAAATAGGATGAATTGAAACGATATTTTATAACTCTCGATATAGCAATAAAAGCAAGATGTGTAGGTGGATTAACTTATCAAGTTTCCATTGAAATAGGATCTACACAAGGAACAACACTTGCCATTAAAAACGTTTAGGTCGAAATATAGCTTTTAAATTTAGTTCGAAGTTAGACGATGCTGCCAAAGAGAGTGACGATACCAACGAAAAAAGGAAAAAACTCATAAAATGGCATACGCAAATAGAACTTTTGCACATTTTCATTAATCCATGAACAAGATCTATCCATCTTGATTGAAAAAGAATCAAGAGAAAGAGAGAATTGGAATAGATCAATAGATTTTGGAAGCAAACGAAAGATGAAACATAAATCATGGATCAACCAAGCTCTCTTGGGGACTTTCTTAAAGAGGAACCTAACGTAAATACCATAGAATAAGGTTTGATTTTGATCCTATTCCTCAAAAACTTGTAAGCATGAATGAGATAACTTGTAGAAGGCAAGGGAACTTCTTATCTGTACTATTAAGTCATGCATATAATGGCACATCTAGTCTGCTATCGTTCCTTACATTCAAGAATCTCATCATGTCATGTATCGAATAGCATGTTGCAAGGATACTCACATGAAAAGGACTATTCCACTGAGATTTTTTTCTATCTATATAATCAGATTTTACTTATCCACAGAGAATGAAATGATACTCATTATTTTCCATATTTATCCAGACGATAATTTTATTCTTCCAAGCAAAAACCTCAATTTAACAATTGCGATATGACAGAAACTCTCTTAAGTGACGCATGATAAAGATAAAGTGCTTATATGAGTAAAAAATTGAAGTAATGTTTAAGAAATCTCACGACGGTTGGCCTCTTAAGCGAACCAGATTTCACTCTGTCTCGCAGATCCTCACATTCTTCCTGCAAAAGATATGGAAAATGATATGTAACACAATTTAAACTCAAACGAAATCGAGTATATTGTCAAGTACAGAAGCAAACATTCACATCAGATCGAAATTTGAAGCTTTATTACAATAAAAAAAAGAAATAACACAAGCATACCCATATTTACACGGTCAGTGAACTGCACAACATCAAATAATATATTTCATGGGACACCACCTTTAGCGGCTTGGATCACTAAGAAATTTTAATAATAATCACCATAGACAACAAGGTGCATCTCCAAATTGATAAATTAGAAAGTGTTCCCCCCAAAAGGTCAAGCATCCAAGTGAAATTACTGAAAATACTCTGTACTTGAGAAAAACAAGACAGGAAAGAGGAGATAGATGTATTCTAGGTCAACCAATCATGAAGGCAGTTTTCACCATGACTGCATTCATTCAGATTGTGAAAATTGGTTGATACTTGATATCTATGACAGACTCATTGACATGAATATTTGTCCATTGTTTGGAAGTTAAATTTCTCAGTATAAGACTAAGAGGGACAAAAACTAAGTTTCACAGACACAGACAAGCGTGTCGGACACCACATTGACGCGTCAACACGTAGTTTTTCGAAAATGTAAGACAAGGTCACATCTATTTAAATTCTTTAAAATTTTATTTCATATATTATATCTTTATTTTTATAGTTCTTAACATAGGACACGGCACAACGTCCTTGCACCTGCCTTAGGGGTGTTTCTAAGGTAAATCCATTGAGAGTTGATAATTTAAAAGATATATAAAAGTGAGATAAAAGCACGTGTCTTGTTGGATACAAGTCCTTGAGTGTCCGAGAAGCTTCCGAATTCGATACACGTGTCGTACACGTCGGGTCTCCGTGCATCATAGGTCAAGAATCACAAGATAAACTGTGGTCCATGCACTACAAAGTTGCTCCTTGCTGTATGACAATTCCTTTAGGTATTGTTGCAAGCAGAAAACCACAAAACAGAATCCAACATAGCCCCGCAAACTAGTAACATGAACCCAGATTAACTCAAACACGGATGATAATCTACAATGTTGAACTGAATCCCATCCCAAAGCACTTTTATCCTTCTCGTAAAATGATATATAGAGGCGCAAGGATGACCACAGCATGTTACATATTCTTGACTGCTATTTAACAACATTCAAAGCGCCAAAAGAACATAAATTATTGTACACATCGAATAGGCTCATTATCATTCCCTTATATGTAGAACATACTCAGAATGATGAAACTAAGTTGCCTGCAATGGGATTCAAAATGGTTTTGGTATAATTTTCATAGCCAACAGGGTTTCAAGTAAAAGCTAGTGTTGACTCTAAAAAAAGAAAAAGAAAAAGAAAGAAAGAGAGAGGTAATTAAGGACTCAGAGGCTATGAACTGTATCATAAGTAACAAAATTGTACTTTCTGTGAGGTTGAGTGGCCACCACAAGGAAGCTTGAGAACAATTAGGCTTCTAAGTTTAATCTTAAAAAAATAGTGTGATGACGGAAATAAGATCTGAATGTCAGCTGTTTCAGGATTCAGCAATAAATTAGGTTCCTTATGATAGGGATAATAAAAACTAACACAGATTTCCTCGATAGAGAGAAAGCAGATATAGTCATAGACTACTCTAAATTTCTTAATCCTATCAGGACAGATGATCTAAAATGCATATTTGTGATTTCTTCAACTCAAAGACTCTTCTAGAGTATATCACTCCATATAGGACTTAAAAACATTCGCAAGAAACGCATCCAAGTTTCTGAGAAAACAAAAACACCAATCTACAAACATTGTTAAGATTAAAAATTATTTGTATAAATAGGAAAATACATATCAAAACTAAGAATTTTTCCTTCTATAAGAACTGAAACATAAAGCTAAACTCTTCTCTCTCTAGAAACCTTGAACTAGGCCTCAGGTTGCAAAGTAAAAACAAAATCTTTCTTACATCAAGAACTGTTTGTTTTATGAATAATTACCTCCAAAAAATTATCATCTGACAGCATGCTAATAGGAGTGTCATTTATACAATTGGAAACTTGAAGGTGAACTCCACAAACCACATCAGCAGCTCCAGAAACATATTTTATACCTGTAAAAGTAACGATTTTGCAGTGCTAATCATAAACAATACAAAGATATAGCTTTCAGTGAAAGAAAACAGAAATGGGATGGCCTGTGTAATCATGTGACCCGCTTTTAAACTTCTTGTCAGTTGGAGATAATAGGAGAGTGTTTGGTAGGAATTAAAATTAAATGTTTTAGTAGATTGTAGTAGAAATTTTTGAAATGTGTAATTGAAAAGTTGTGGGGACCCATGATAGATGTGATTAATATTGATTGTTTGACTTTGACTTACATTAAAATCAGATTTTAATCTGTACCAAACATGCTCTAGATATCAATAGAAATTACTTGTAGCACTGAAATATTAGACTTTCTAGATAAATCAAATTTAGATTTCATAAAGAGGTATTGATACTTTCAGCAACAATAATATACTGAGCAACTACTACTAACTCAGGGGGAACATATTAAATGCTATTCTACAAACATATCAGAACATGCCAGAAACATGAAGAAGAAAAAGCACACGAGTGTGACAGTTTCATAAGAAACAATCAAGTTGAAATTGTGATTTGATTCCATATAAGCCCACATGATTTTCATGCAATAAATTGTGCATGAAGATATATTCTGTCACAAGAATAATTCGCCACTAAAACTTTCAAGGCCATATAAACAATACCAACAGATACTCCCAAATTCGCTATGAATACTAATATTAATCTAATTCTTCTTTAAATTTTCGTCCTTTTTCTGTTATGGTTGGAGTATGTTATGGTTGTAGTAAATGAAGTGTTGGACAGAATTAACATCTTATCTGAAGAAAGCAATATGATCCCAACTGTTATCGGAAAAATCTAGCCTTCAAATTCCTTTCTTACATTTGCTCATAACTTCACGGATCCAGTATATACATAACTGCTCTCAAGAAACCTATGTTATGTAAGACTCCATATTGATGGATAATGCACTAAAATGGAAAGCACATAATTTTGACACTGCAACTTAGATAATATGAGGTTAATTACCTGTAACTTGCTCAAGATGGAAGCGGTGCTTCTGAAAAATGTCATTCCGATCAGATTTGAGCCGAACAAAACTTCCAACTACTTTTGTTTCAAAGTATTCAGGAACCTTGAGAAGATCCTGAACTAAACTCCTTCGTAAATAAATAAGCTTGATGTTTTCAGGAATAATGGCAGCATAGCAGCTCTTTGGAGTCTCGGGAACCTTAATTATTTTACTGGTAGGTCCAGTTTTCAATCCCGAGGCACTCTTTTCTTCATAATTCTCCTCTTCTGAACAGTCTTCATCATCTGATTCATCATGGTTTTCTGCCAAGTGTTCTTCCAGCAAATAATGGATTTTTGCTTGTGATAAAGATTTCTTTCCAAAAAGAGCATAGAGTCTCTCATCACATACAATTTTTTTCTTCTTTTCCGGGCTATTAAGGCATTTAGTTTTAACATATCGAGTAATTGTTTTAACCAAATCTACCTTAGAGTACTTTTTTGAAGCATCCTCACCAATTGATTGAAGAAATTCAATCAATGGCTTAGAGCCCCAACCAATAAACTGTATTTTTCTTTGGACAACTTTTCTCTTCCTTCTTATAGGAACCGACTGTTGCCCATTGACTTCCTCCACCCAAAAATTATCTTTCATATTGTCAGAGTGATATCAAGACCCAAAGCTTTTACAGTGCCAAACTTGTCTTCATAGATGGCATCCATGTGCTTTCACACCATCTGTTGTGTATATAATTTGCCATATTTACCAAGCTAGTAGAGACCTTTCCTAAGTACCCTATGAGAAATGGAAAGAGGAAAAAAAAAAACTTTCAATAAAGAAAGCAACAATGTTCAGATTCAGCTTCATCTCTGTTCAATAACGGGATCTAATGATCAGTACTCATCATTTTGGGACACTGGAACTACTACTCCACTAGAAACACAATATTCATGCCTAAAAAATGTGAAGATGTGTCAAAACAAGGTAACATAATAAACAAAGCGGTGAAAATACCATGTATAGTTAATGAAACAAAAAAGTCACTCTTGTCACTGATGAAAAATAAAGATGATGATCATGAAGGATCAACTGTGGGAAAAGACGATCCTCAATAGTGTTATGATGGTAATAAAATTGAAAATATATTTCTCACTGACAGGAAAAAAAATAATAATAATATATGTGATTTCTGTAAAATATGATAGTTTCTTTAACTTTAAAGCTGAGGCTAGATGAAAGGCTCTGTGGAAGGCAGCCATACATAATTTCATTAAACATTTTGGAACTGGAGATGAAAAGTTGTTTAAAGACCTTTTCAAAAACCACTTTATAGAGGGAGGATTGGCTAGTTCAACTATGAACATCATGATACAAGCAACTTTATGTACATTTGCACCATGTTTAGACAAATCAAATTAACTAGGCAATAGACATGCTAGCCCATTCATTTTCCAACATCACCCCCTAGTGGTTTGAAAATTTACACTCACTGCCCAAGAAAAAATTAGTTTTTATTAACTGTTAAGAGTAAAGAACAAGCTGGGAGTTTGTAGCAATTAATTTATATAGTTGAATAACAGTTGATTTAGTTCGTTAATCCTGTTAAAGAATTGTAAAGACTGGGTTAAGAGTTGGTTAGTTTCCTAATCAGCTATTCAAAGAAGCCTAAGCCATATGCTTAGCTTGAACTTCTTTTCCAGAATAATCCAAAGTGGATTTCCCCCTTTTCTCTTCTTTCTCTTGGTTTCATTATTTCCTTTCTTTCATAGATTTCATCTTCATTTTCAAAATCCTCTAACACAGTAGCAGAGATGGAACTAACATCATACAGATTCGTTCATGGTCCAGGATACAAACTCCTCCAAGTTCAATCCAGTCTGACTCTCACCCTCTTTTTCGAAATTGAACAACCATAACTTCTTGATGTGGCGCAAGCCAGTCTTAGCAATGATTCAAGGTCAACAACTACAAGATTTCAACTCCTCCACTCGCAAACTTATCTCCAGAGGATGAAACCTCAAGGAATATTAACTAGAATTTCTAGACTGGAAGCAACAAAATCAGCTTACAGTTTCATGGCTTCTTGACATCCTCACACCAATGATTAATTGTGACTCAGTAGCTAAAATATGGAAAACCTATAAATTATTTCGCCTCTCAGTTTGTGCCAAATCGCGCAATTCAAGATACAATTGCATCATACAAAGAAGAATTCTCAGTCAATCACTGATTATTTACTTAAATATCAGAGGGCTTGTTGATCTCCTTGCCTTGGTAGGGAACCCACTTTCAACTAAGAACCAAATTGACGCAATCCAACACTGAAAAGGTATATATTTTACAAAGATAAGCCATTCAAATTACAAAACTGCCAACGTCTGCACCATCCACAAGCGATTTTCACCCCAAATCCCGCACCGTCTTTATGAATCCACAATTTTAACATGCCAAAGTGAAGCAGTAATGCAAAAAATTGTTTAACTCGCTGCCCATAAAATTAGCATAATAAAAGCTCATAAAAGGTACCTAATAGTGAATGCTAAAAGATAAAAAGCACCACTTGAACCCATTGTAGAGTAATTAATGTCGATAAGCTCTTGAGAAATTTACAAGATAAATTACCCCCAGCACAGTATAATTTCCTGAAAATAAAGTCAAATTCAAAGGCTTAACGTTCATTTGAAACAAAATACCTCGAGTGGAGAGTTGCACTCACCAGAGAGAAAAATTTGAAGTTTTCTAGGTTTCTTATTTAGGCGGCTCTTTCTCGTTTCAGTACCAGCGGCGAACCAGAATCAAATTCATTCACAAGAATTGCAACAAACAAAAAACAGGAAATTGAGGTGGGCAGTATTATAATACTTCAGTAACGGAACAAGAGATACTAAATAAAAAAGGAAAAACACTTACATAGTAATTAAAGAAAAACCAAAAAATAGCGGTTAAAAATCGGCGAACCCGAACAAAGTGAGAAGCTTCAAATGGTTCAATTCACAAGAGGGACAAGAACACGAATAAGCTTTAAATGGGCTCGCCGAAAACTACACAGAAATGAAAGAATCAACTACAAAATTTGCAAAAAATGATGTTCGAAAGAGAAACTTGTATGCAAAGTTCTTCGAGAGGAATTTTCATGGTTGGAATTTCGGCAAAATGTACTTTAAAAGGTAAATTTGTTGGATGAAAAGGAAGGAAAAATGACACCACCGATATAATAAATTTTGTTGTCGTGTCCAAGTTCTGTTTTCAGTTTATGACTCTCTGCTAGTGCTACCTGGCCCCGTTTCAATTACCCAATTTAAGTGGTTTCTTTAAAAAAAATCCCAATTCTGGACTTTTTTTCCTTTTTTTTTTTTTTTTTCCACCAAAAGCATGTTTGGAAAATAAGCTAGTCACATTGAAATGTGTAGATAAAAATTGTGTGGAAGTGGGGCATATACAATAAGTCAAACTTTATTGTGAACCACAAAATATTGGGGCACAACTTGTAAATCATGGACTTATTTATTAAACTATTCTAACTTCTAAAATCACTAATACCCAATTAAAATTTGCATAATCCTGAGTGTACAAGGTCAGTTATGCCATATTTTTTTATAGATTCTCACATGAGGTGGGTCCAATGCAGGACTCGAGACCCGACTCATTAAAAAAATACCCCCAAAAAACCGACCCCCCGATGTTTGTATATATTATGGCAGAATCCTGTAGGAGGCGGTATTGTACGTGAAGCACTGCTCTTAAAATTTTGGGTTGACTTTAACTTATAGACACAAAATTATAGGGATACGAGAGTAATTTGTAGATTAGATTACAAAATACAAGCAAATAACGAAGAAGATCTAAATTTTTACTTTAGAAGCATAATAGTGGAGTGTAAAGAAAATCATTTTTATAGCTAACATGTACAAACACAACATCAATAAGAAAATATAGGTAGTCTCAATACTAAATGTAAGACTAGAAATTAGAAATGATATATTTAGATATAGTATGATCAACTTGATTAGTTTCACGTTGAACAAAACAACTAACAAACAATAGAAAAGAATTACGTGCACTAAAAACAATGAGTAAAAGTGATCCCTCAAAAGTGTGCATTAGAGGTTCTTTCTACGTGTGCTTCAATCCGAATAATTCTTTTTTAGGGATACAACTACATCCACATTCATTTTCAATTTGTTCTTCCCAGGCTGCATCCAACTTTGTGTAGCTAAAATCAATGGCATAGCAAGATATTTTTCATCGTGGGGCTAAAAATTAAATAACATTTTTTTATTAGAATAACACAAGATTAATAAAAATGACTTACATAATTATAATTGTAGTCTAGGCCTTTTCATATTTTGAAAATATCGTATAATTACTACGTTATCAATATTGTCAAGAACATATTTCTCAATATGCGCTATCAAACTATTAGTCAATCATTGATCTCCCATCAAATTATACAATTGATTCTTGACAATCTTCATCATTAAATATACAATTAATTTCAATGAGTAAGGTCTCTCTATTCCAAGAAAGCACAACGGAAAATATGGAGCATTATTTCTATAATCAATTTCAATAAATATAATATTCCGTAATTTCAACCTCTAACTCTGTAATGTCACAGTAGACAACAATGAGTATTATAAAAAATTCCAAGATCGCCAAGTTAGCGAAATGAAAAGAAAATGTTAAGATCTAAACTCCTTGTGATTTTTTAGAAGACGGAGACAAAGAAATTTGATAAAAATGAGACCATTATAAAAGATCTCGGCTTCCCTTTTATTACCTTTTTCACGATGAGAGAAACCGCGTTCACGTCAATGGAAGTGATGGACCGTGAAAGGCCATGCTTGAGAAGTGAAAATCAAAACGACCTAATACGAGTATCCAATAGTATTCATTGATTTCTTCCATTAAAATTGGCACATCATACGTATAGCATGATTCATTAACATATTACAAAAAATTCAAATAACTGCAAATACCTACAAAACAAAATCAATAAATATCATGAACAAAGCATAACCCGAACCCACTGCTTCTCGACAAAAATAATTAAACAACTATTAAAATAATTTGAATCATCAAAAACCAGATAGTGGGCAAGAACTAAATTTTTTCCAGAGATTGAAGAACTTAAAGAGGGAGTAAAACAAGAAGAAGACTGAGTGAAGGAGAATGCAGCACTAAAGAAGCAACTAAAATTTGCTTTCAAATTGAGGATTCTTGTTCAGTAGGTTGTAATTGATAAAGAATGGAATTTTTGGTAGTTGACAAACCGTAAAAAGGAATATTTGTCATTGCTCGATCATGCAAAATGGGAAAAAGTACAACTATATCGAAATTGGGAATGGTGTAAAAAAAATAAAAATAAGAAAATTCAACGAGTTAGTTAACCGAAAATGACACCGTATAGTAGAATGACTCGATCAATTCATGAATTCTCCCGATGAGGCTACAACATCATAGGTCAAATTTATTTTAACATTAACCCCATAAAAAATCCTCGATTAATGGTATGTAAATTTAATTTTCTTGACAGGTGAAGGAAAAAAGGAAAAGTGATAAATTTTGTTGTCTTTAATTTGACCGTGCGAGAATTTGTTTCCCTTTAAAATTCATATTTTATTAATTTTTTTAAATTTGGTATTTTTTTATTCAAACTTTTCAATTTGGACAAAATTCAAGTTAGTCCTCTGTCATTGCCACATAAGCTCCAATCCGATTTCAATTGAAAAAACTTTAAAAAGGGTAACAGTTGCACCTTGTCTACATTCCTCAAAATGGAGCATTTACATCCCTAATCTTTCATTTTAGTAGCAATTAAGTCTTCAGTGGACAATTTTATCCTTATCTTTAGTTAACAAACTAAAATTTTATTAAAAAGACAGTTGCATCTTTATAAAAAAAAAATTAATAATAATAATAATTTGAACGCGTGAGAAGAGTGTGAATATCCCTATGTACCCAAATTGTATGCACCAAACACAACCCTTAAAGCAATTATCATTTACGAATGGTGATGTTGCCCACTAATTTAGGAGTGCTTTTTTCCAATATCCTCACAAATTGATTCACGAAATTAATCTACGACTTAAATATGATCCAATAAACTACATTTTTTCCCTTCCTTCTACACAAAAGGTATTTCTCATATCGTCAGAATAATATGAAACACCAAAGTTCCTACCATTTAAACTTATCTCTGTAGATTTAAGGCCATTTGGTATATTTTTTAATTTTGCTTTCTATTTAAAAAAAAAAATTAATTTTTATTTGAAAACCAATTTTTTTAAAGCGCTTCCTATTCCATTTTCAAATATTTGAAAGATGTTAATATCCTCATTTTCAAATCGAAGTAACCACAGGAATTTCATATGCATGCTTCGAAATCAGTCTTTTTGAAATCAAACATTCAAAATCATCGTAACGTGCAAAAATTTCCATTTGTTTAGGACGCAACATTTGGTATCTAATTTTTCAACCTTGCGTCCCATAACATTGGAAGGTAAGAACGTATTTTTGAAAGACGACTCTAATTTCAAGGTCAAAACCGTCATTCATTATGGATACAAAACTATTCCTGAATTATTATTCATTTTCAAGAGTGATCCAATCTGGTTAATATGTTCCATGTTTGCGTAAGACTCTTACCAACACATACTAAAATCTCAAAATTAAATTCATGTGCCTTATGATTTAGATTCGGAAATAGTGCTTTAAAAATATTAAACATTCTACCTTCTCAATTCATTACAGCATTTAAAGATCTACAGTCACTTCCCCATAAATTACACAACCAGAAAGTTTTTGTAATTTATTGGAAGGAAGATGACTGTTCTGAGAAGCTCATAGGTACCAGAAGGAATAATAATAGTAATAACTCCGGTCGCCTTAAATAACAAGGGATTGATTGATATCGGCACAATATGCCTCATGCTCCATCTGGCTGGACAAATGGATTGGCGATCTCATCTGTTCCCTCGGTGGGGGAGACGAGCATCACAGCAGTTCCCCGACATACCTGCCATAGAAGAATAATGCAACTTTACATGCAGAATAAACATAATTTTCTATTTTTACTTTCAAGGCAGCGCATCACCAGTCATGTGCAGTAATATGGCGTGGATCAGCATAAAAACCAAGAATAGTCAATGAATCCAGACGGATATTAACCAAATAATAAGCAAGAGCACAAATATCGGTCATGGTATGGTTTTTATACAAAAAATTAAGAACCTTTAAGCGAAGATCACAAAATTTGACAGCAGTGTAAATGGCCAGAAAACTAATTTCACTGATTAGCTTCCATAAAACAAATGGCCCTCACATTAGCAAAGATCCAAGAACTCAAACCTCTGTGAGGACTCAATCATCTTCCAAAAAAGATTAAACTCAAGGTTATATGATCTCACAGCTTGCAACAGTTGAATCAAAGCTCTAATGCAGTAAAAATGTAATTTATGATCTGCAGATTTCAAAAAAAGAAAAAATATGATCATGCATATATGATGCTGAAACGTAACTATTAAGCCAAGACGCCGGGTCTGATCAGTAGTCTTCAGCGGATCCTCAGGGTCTGCAGTTGAAAATGAACTCAGAGAGATAGTATAGAAAAGTAAAACATTTCTTATATAAAATTATGCAACACCAACTTCTTATAGGGGAAGATGCAAGGGCAATTGGCATTTATATAAACAAAATATGGAAGAAAACTTGCCGAGATAATTCTAAAACAAAATGCTTCAGAGGAATCAATAATAATATGCACACTTGCAGCTTTTATTAGTTTATAAACCAGAAGGCTCACTACTCATAATGAATACATTTTTCTCTCTCCAGAATAAAAACAATGTGTTAATTCATTTGGTGGTAGCTGTTCAAATTTAAAATCAGAATTGGCTGACTAATGTATCATTTACAAGTCATATCCAATGTACGAAAGATGAAACCATTATTTTGTAACAGCTCAATAAACAACAATAGACAAGATTAAAACCTCAAGCCATAGTTGCAACAAAATAAACCACCACAGAGAATCAGGTGTCATATAAATGTTCATTCTGGCAAATGCCACCTAATCCACAAAATCTTCCACAGACACAATGGATGGAAAGGGATAAATTAGAAAAAGGTAGAGCTCTCTTGGTCAGAAACTGAGTCGCCAAAACGAACAAAAGAAGCACTTTAAGGAATGTATATTGTAAAGATTATGTGAAATGAAAGAACTTTTCAATCAAAATTTCTGGTCCGACAAAGAGCAAGCAAATTAACTTGTTAAAATAAGGAAAATCAAGGCTTAATAATACATTTCAACAGTTGAAAATAGTCTCATTTGACATACTACCTAAAAGATTACCATCAAATTGGAGTACATTGAGCTATAGAAAAATGGATGTGTATTAATTACCTCTAAGAAACTCTGTTGCTTCATCCAACACAAGATTCAGCAATTGGTCATATCCTTTTAACGTACCGGTCACTGAAAGGAAGGATCAAATGTTAACTTTCCTGAGTTATGCTAAAAAGAATTGATGAATCTGGGTACCAAATGAAGAAACGTAATACATATCTATCACTAACCAGTAGATGTGATCTTTGTCATGTGGATAAACTGAAATGAGCTTTCTGATAACAATAATTAACCTTCATTTTAACAAATCTCTGATTTTGCAATGATGTTTAGTGTTTAGAAACCTAAATATTTGGAGGCTTCCCTCGTAGTATGAGAAGGAATAGATTATTACATGGAAAAGAATTTAATTTCACAGATAAGTACCCATAACGATATAAATATCTAAATTGAATGTGTTCAACACTGATAAAGTAGCAATCTTCCCAGAACACTTCAAAAAGGAGGCATACCTCCATAATACTAACTGATTAACATTCCCACCATATTTGGTTTACTATAGTCAGTTCTTACCAATTTCATTCCACATCAGTTTTTCAGCCTTTTCCTAGGACGGTCTAGATGAATAAGAAAGTGGCTGAAATATCAATCACATGTAATGGAGAATAAATATTAGCCAACTGAGAAACATGTGTTTATAATTCCCTTTTTAACCATGGAATTCAAACTAATTTCGTTGCACTGCAACAAAATTGACCTTGCAAGACTCGTCGTAAACCTCAAGAACAGATAAACTTATATCTACCATAAGAATTTTCCTTTATGGCTATTTTAATGTCATCACAGCTCCAGAAAACAATGGAAAGACAACAAAAAAAAAAAGATCAAGGAGATAAAGATGAACTGCCTATAGTTGCTTAAAAAAATAAATAAAATCAAAAGCTACTGACCTTGTCTTCCACCAGTGAGCTTGACTTGGACGCCCTTGTCAACAAACTTTGCTAGATCCAACACTGTTTCTTTTCTTCCTGACTAAAGAAATAATTTAACAGAATAAATCATTCGCTTAAAGCTGCAAACAGTACTAAAGTTAAGAGACAACTAAAATACTGTTACTTTTTATCCATTTATACCTCTTTAACATCTCAAACTTAAGTTTGCAACATGTGAAAGCCTCTCCTGTGATAAAATACTTCCAATGAGTGCCCCTTTTTCTTAATTTTTATAGTTTACACTTGAAACATTACAAATAGAGTAATGTTATCTAGCATTACTGGTGTTTTAGGTGGCAACAATAGTGCCATTAAATACAGGATCAATTAAATCCAAAGAATTATGACCTATTAAATAGGACATTTTATATGCTGACAATTAGATTGCTGTTCAACACCAATAGTGCTAAATAACATTATTCTTATAATTAATTTAGTTATTATTTATCATATTGAAATTAGAATCATAAAAAAATCAACTTTTTGTTAGCTTTACCCTTGAAATCCATGTTATCATCTAAAACACAGTCATACATGTAATGTTAAAAAAAATAATAATAAATAAATAAAGGGGAGACTGTATGTGTGCCTGAAAAAGAGGAGTACAATACCATGTCGAAAATCAACTGATCGTAAAAATGGCCAAAAGAGCTGAGCTCCTATGCGACGAGATTAACCGGCTAACAGAAAAGAATATCTGTAAATCCAGTATGCAGTTAGCAAGAATATCAGTAACTTCAGTACAACATTGCTGGAAATTCTAATACGATTTTAAGACAATTTTGCCCTAAGTATCTCTTAAATTCCAGTTTTCAAGGCAAACAGAGAACCATAAAAACCGCGTCAAAAAATCAAAATATTGTCGGAAAAATCATTGTTGCTGGAGGAAGATTACGATCAAGAAACAACAATTTTCGGAAAAATAAATAAATTAAAAGAAGTTGTGTTGAAAATAAATAATCCACACCAATCAGATCGACTGCGATTTCAACAAAAAATATCCCTTTTTACAATTATAAATCCAATACTAACTTCCAAGTACGGTGATGATGAAGTTGAGAAGAAAACACTGCAGCACAAGATAAATTGTTGCCAGGGGGTGATGAATATATTTCCCTTTTTCCTTTCCTTCACGCTCAATTGTTCCCAATTTTTAGTGTGATGACGAGGAACACCGAACACCCTAGCCGCTTGGCCCCCATGATTTTTAATTGGGCTTCACAAGAAATTTTCAAGGAGGAATTGGGTTAAAACGTTAAAAATTTGTAGAATTGGACTTCAAGGAAATTGTTGGGTTTGGGCAGGAATTTTAGAAACGGGCTTTAAACAAAAAAAAGAAAGAAAATAAGGAACAATACATATCTTATTATAATATAAAAATCACATTTCAAAATTAACAAACTTGTAAAATTATTTCAAAATTCAGGTTTTTGTGTGTGTGTAATTGAAATTAATTATCCCAACTTAATTAATAGTATCCCCACACCCGACCCTACCCTTACCAAATTAATAGTATTCCAGTTAGAGCTGCACAAAAAAATCACAAAATTGCAAACTGAACCGAAACCATTGAGTTGAAACCGTTGGTTTGGGTCCACATGGACGCGTGATTTTTTTTCCATCAAATCCAACAAAATCATTTCAAAATTGTTTGGTTTAGGTTTTGATTTTAAAAAATCGCACAAAATCAAATCGAACCAAACTGTTTTAAAATTTTTTAATTAAGGCATTAATTTTGTTGACTTAAAATTTTTACAGTTTTTACTTTTCAGAAAAAATATCAATTTAGCAATACAAATTACAATCAGTCTATTGAAATAATCATAGAATGTAAATTAGTTTTATTATTATTGGCCTATGATTTAATAAGTTCAGAACACATGTCTTTACTTGATATCTAAACTAAACTAAAATTATTTTAAAATCATATGAAATGAAAAAAAATATATATTTTTTCAACAATCCAAATTATAATTCAACAAAACTGTGTCAGCAAATAATGTTCAAAGTTTCAGAAGCCCAAACATAAACTCTCATTTCTCTAGCATTTGACGCTTGTTTGCCACTGCTGAACGAATCATCAGTTGCCTTTGCCTGTTAGTCTATTAATTTCTACCAGAATCGCCTATTTTCTCTTCTCTTTTGGTAAGTCTCATATTCTCATTCAAGTCATTTTTTCGTTGTTCTTTCTTTTATTTGTTATTTTTAAACTTATTATACACTTGTGAATTATATTTTAGATAGAAAAATAACTGTTTGTGTGCCTAGATAATTAATGAACTTGTTTGTAGTTTAGAAAGAACGAGGGATGGATCGTATTGATTGTATAAAAATGTTAAAGTTACTTAACTATTACTACTACCTTCTACTTTTATAAAGTAGTTAGAGAATGAAATTCGTCAATTCTCAATAAGTCAAAACTCTATCAATCTTTGTACATATAAATATATCATATCTAATCCTTATAAAATATCTCACTAGCAAGAAGGAATGCGTTTTAACCAAATTATAATAGTAGAATGTAGCGTTACTTTTATCAACTGATATATGACATTATGAATGTCAAATAAGAAAATGTAAATAAAAATGAAGAAAGATATTTTTGTTCTATTAACAGCAACCAACTTTGAAAATAATTTATTCATGTGTTTCATGGAAAATGTGAATGCAATTTAGAGTCCGTTTGGTGCACATTTTTTAGATGAAAATACATTTTAAACATCATATCGCGGGTCCCCCATTAGAGTGTAGAAGTCAAAAATTGTGTGCTGATGTGACGGAAAAAATGCATTTTTGGCTCCAAAAATGAGTACCAAACAGGGGCTTAACATTTAACATTGTTAGTTCTCGTTTAAACTTATATGTTAACTTATATTAATTATATTACCATAATATTGATAGGTAAACCGCGGATTAAAATCGAACCAAACTGCAATTTTCGAAAAATAAAATGGTTTGGTTTGAAAAAATTTCAAACCACATAAAATAGTTTGAGTTGAAAATATAGCCAAAATCGAACCGCGTTCACCTCTAATTCCAATTAATAATATCCTCCAACGAACCCACCCTACCCACCTACTTGCTCAAAAATTTCAGAAATTGAAAATCATTTTTTGGAGATTACACGTTAACTTGAAATCATATCCATCGACCCTACCCCATCTGCCCTACCCCCATCCCAACTTATGGAAATTTTTTAGAAATTACGCCCAACCCTATCCTACTCGTAGAAATTTTTCAAAAATTTAAAAATTTTCTGTAGATTATACCTCGCCCACGGATTAATTGTGTTTTCTGTAACAAAATTTATTGTTTATGAGCATGCATGTGTTACATATAACTAGCAGCGACAAAATTTACCGTCTAATTTGTGACTTTATGTAACCAAGTCACTAACATGTGTTTCTGTTACTAACTGTGATCAAATTTATTTTTCAAAGTAACTGTTTGAGACCAAGTTAATCTTAACTGTGATGGTATGTGACCAAGTCACAACCAGTCACAGTTGACACAACAATCAGTTACAATAAATGAGTATTTAACTTTGAAAAACTTGTACAAACCCATAATGCATTTTGTTGAAAAAGGCTATTCCACTGAAGGAATGGTCAAATTATGTACTTTTGAAGATAACTCTAATAAAAACAAATATTTTGCTTATATTAATGATTCACTTAATTTATGGCGTGATAGATTAGATCACTTAGGAGTTAGCACTATGAAAAGAATATTTAAATGTGGATCAATACAATGTGAAATTGATAACTTAGAAAAATATGAAACGTATATTAAATCAAAGATGATTAAAAATTCATTTCATAGTGTAATAATATCAACAAACTTACTTGAACTTGTTCCTTTCGATATATGTGAACTAAATGGCATGTTAACAAGATATGGTAATAGATATTTTATTACTTTTCATTGATGATTGCTCTATATATACTTATGCATATTTGTTAAAGCACGAGGATGAAGCCTTTAGTGCCTTTAAAACATATGAAGCTGAAGTTGAAATCAATTAGGAAGGAAACTAAAGGCTTTAAGAAGTGATAGAGGTGGAGAATATTTCTTTAATGATTTCAATATATTTTGCGAACAAAATGGAATAATATATCAATGTTCTACACCTCGAACACTTGAACATTATTAGAGATAATAAATGTTATGTTATTGAATTCTGAACTGCCATTCAATTTATGGGGTGAAGCTTTACTTAATGTTTGTCATCTAATTAAAAGGACTATTTTGAAAAAAGAATAAGATTCCTCCATATGAAATATGGAAATGAAGGAAAACAAATATTAATTATTTCAAAATGTGGGGGTTTCTTACTTTTTATAAGAATACAGACTATAAGAGAACTAAATTAGATCCTATAGGTATCAAATATGCCTTCGTAGGATATGCTCTAAATAGCAAAGCATACAAGTTGTTAAACTTAGAGTCAGATGTTATAATAAAATCAAGAAATATGAAATTTTTCGAGAATGTATTAGTAGCAAAAAATCTCAAAATAATGGAGATAATCTAAATTTTAGAGAACCACAAGAAAAACATCTACAAGAGATGTTGAAAGTGAACCTCGAAAAAGTAAGAGAACCAGAAAAGAAAAAGGTATGGGATCGGATGAAATATTCCCAACTTATTTCTTTCTACTTAGTAGAGGGAGATAGGAAGGACGTTGTAAGAGCGACTCCCTTTGTTCTTTATATCGAAAGTGATCCTAAAATCTATAATGAAGCAATGTCTTCTAGAGATTGTATATTCTACAAAAATGTGATAAATAATAAAATGGATTATATTATATCAAAGAACACATGGGAAATAGTTGATTTGCCAAAGGGTTTTAAAGCCACTGGTTGTAAATGGGTATTTAGAAAGAAATATAATTCCGATGGAATACTTAATGCATATAAAGCAAGATTAATTGCTAAAGGACATCAACAAAAGGAATGAACAAATTACTTTGATACATACAAACTCATTAAACTCGATAAAGTTCATGCTTGTACAGACATCAATTTATGATTTACATGTTCATCAAATGGATGTCTATACGACACTCTTAAATGGAGATTTCAAAGATGAGGTATATATGGAACAATTGAAAGTGTTTGTTCTACCAAAAATGAACATAAAGTGTACAAACTAATCAAGTCCTTATATAGATTAAAATAAGCCCCTAAAAAATGGCACGAAATATTTGACTTTAAAATAATGTTGAATGGTTTTAATCATAATTCGATAGACAAATATCTTTATACTAAAATAAATAATAGTATAATTACATTAATGTATTTATACGCAGATGATATGTTGATCGTCAGTAACAATGAAGAAGGGATTAAAGAAACAAAGAGATTTTTGTCCTCCACATTCAAAATGAAAGATCTTGGACAAGTGAATACTATCCTTGGTATCAAAGTTAAAAAGGATAGTGGGGGTTATATGTTGAGCCAATCACGTTACATTGAAAATGTGATAAATAAATTCAAACATCTGAACATGAAAGAGGCTAATACCCCTTTGAATCAAAGTATCAAGTTGATAAAAAAAACGATGAAAGAGCAATAGCTCAAGTAGAATATGCAAGTACAATTGGAAATATGTACGTAGCACAATGTACAAGACCTGATGTTCCATTCGCTATGAGTAAACTAAGTAGGTTTATAAGAAATCCAAGTTTCGGACATTGGAAGGCCACCGATAGAGTTCTTGGTTACTTAAAGAAAATAGAAAACCTTGGACTACAATATAAAGTGTTTACTACTATCTTAGAAATATACACTGACGCTAGTTGGATATCTAATACGGGAGAAAAACAAGTCCACTTATGCATTACTCACTCAACAATGAAGTCAGAGTTTGTAGCATTGGCCAAAATTAGAAAAGAAGCTAAGTAGTTGAAAGATCTGTTCTATTTCATACCTTTAGATATGAAGGATATTTCATCAATGCCTATCTTATGTGATAGTCAAGCTACTCTTGCTCGAGTATATAGCAAAGTATATAATGGAAAATTGAGATACATGAGTCTAAGACACAAGTATGTGAGGAAATTAATCGAGTATGGAATATTTTTTCTTACACACGTTAAGTCTAATGAGAACTTAGTTGATCCATTTACTAAACCTTTCGTAAGATCGACAAGAAGCGGGATGGGGTTGAACTCTTTAAATGAATCCACCAATGATAAC